AATTGGGATCGATATTAATACCCTTCTCTCTTATCTCCTCCAAGAAGGTTTAATCTACGACCTTATCTCCCTAAAATCCCACCAGTCGACTACCCTTTATAAATAAGAACGACACGGCCTAATAAAAATATTAATTTATAATTAACTATAAATCTTCGTTAGAACGAAAGAGGTTAGTTATTAAAAAAGCGGCTAAACTCTTAAAAATATAGGGAAATAACCCTCTTTTTCATGCTTTAAATTCAAGACCGTATTCTAAAAATCTAATAATAATTATATAGGCGGCGATAGTAAGGACTCTAGAAATTCTTGTAATATCTCTAAACCTATTTATAATTATGTTTCTAATATTTATAGGACTTCTAAAAATCTAAACTATATTTATATTTTTAGAGACTTTAATTCCTCTTCTTCCCCTAATATATTCCCAATCTCAATAAGAAAATCTTAAACAATAGGGCTAAGAATTCTATTATTTACAATAGATATAACTTCGATTTGTAGGACGTCTACTTATATAATATCTACTTAATAAAATCTCTTAATTATATAATTAACTCTTTAAAGGAAATATTAGAGGGCATTATAAATTTCTTTAACGTTACTACTAGGAAAGACTTCATCTTTATTAAATATAATATTTCATATAATAATAATAGAATTAGTATAGGGATTTTAAATCCTATAAATATTCATTAATTAACATTTAATTAAATAGTTAACCTAAACACAATCCTTAAACTTCATCAATTTATTCTATTCTTTTATAATTTCTATTATAAGAATAAAAACCTTATATCTATATACTTCGAGGTATACAATAGTAGGGAAAGGGTTTAATAGAAGAACGATACCATCTTTAAATTAATAATACGTTTCGAATCGGTCTTAAGGAGATTTCTAATAATATTCCACCTTAGGAGTTAAATTTTACAAATATACAACTACTCTAATAATTTCTATTTATAATTTATAAAGAAGATTTACACTTAATTATATTACCGTACCTTTAATTTTAATTACACCCCTTAAGCGCTTTGCGCCGCCGTTTTAAACTTACGTATAAAGCGTTAAGGGCTCGATACTAATTCCCTTTACAATAAATTAGATGGTAATCTTCTTACTACTACTAATTATTTCGTTATCGTATTCGATTACCCGAAATATAATTTAATATTGAATTTATAGCCTTATATAACAGGATTCTAAATATATAATATTAAATTCGGCTTTTCTATTACCTAAATAATATATCTAAGCGAATTCAAACTACCAGTCTACAGCTATTATTAAATTTAAATATTTCTAACCCCCTACCTTTACCTCCTTATAAAAGAAGAAATCGACAATTAATTATAACTTAAAGCCTTCTAAATAGTTACAAACTTCTCTACGCACCTAGCGCTTTAATTTAATTTTAATATATAACTCGCAATACACTATATCCAATCCCTTAAATCGTACACTATACTTTTACTTTATTAATTTAATTAAACTTTCAGGCCCCAAGTAACCAAATCGAAAATACTAACGAAAGGGCTTACCCTCTTAAGGCTTCAACTTAATATAATTTATATACCGTACAATAAAAGAAGATTCGTCAACGCTATTCTACAAAAAGATATACTCTAAAAGAAATTACTTATATTTAAAAAAAAATATAATAAATAAGGGAGTCTATAAAGCCAAAGCGTAAGCAATCATTCTTATAGTCCTAATAAATTTATTAATCCTCGAATTATTTTAAGGAAACGAAGTTATAAATTATACCCAATACTAAAGCGACGTTAGGGAACTAGAGCTCTCTATTTCCGTCGTCGTCCTAAACCATAATCATAATAATATTATACCCCTCTATAAGAATCCGCTTATCTCCCGCCTATATATAATTATTAATATTTAACGGGGTAAAATCTTCGAAGCGACTAACTTTATTAAAAATATATATTATTATACTTAAATGGAAAATTATGAAATCTCTTAATAAGTATATAGCACTATATTTCGCTATAAATATTAAAAAATTACTCTTACCTACCCGGCAACTATAGAGTTAATTATCTTACTCCTTATCGTCCCACTACATTTATAAACAGTTAACGGCCTCTTTAAATATTTTATCCTTTTTAAAATTAGTATATACGCACTTTTTAATAGTAGGACTTTCAATCCAACTTTTATAGGCTAATTATAACCTAACTTAGTAATACTTATCTAAATTATAGCCCGGCTACTTATAGAATTTATATAGGGATCGATACAATCGTTTATTCGCTAGTAGGGACGAGGAGGAAATATACTTATTCTTATTAATATTCTTCCTAAATTTACTATCTTATAGCCTCTCCTCGTCCCTCTACTTCTAAACTAGGGTTTTATTCGTCGCTAAGAGCGTCCTCTGCAACGGGGCTTACTACTTAATATAACTATAAATATAGTACCCTTAAATAGGGGAGCGCGACCCTTTCCCTAAATAATACTCGCTATTATTACTTTACGAAAGTCCTTAGCTACAATACGGAAAAAAGTTTTAAAATTAAAATTTCTTTCGATTTCTTTATTATACTAGAACTGGTAATTATTTGCCCAAAGGGTATAAGGACTCGACCTTATAATTATATAGAACTCTAGGAATTATAAATCTAATTTATTTATTCTAATAATTCCTCTAATAATATAAAAGGCTCTAGTTGCCTCCTAATAAAAAATCTAATTATATTAATTATAGTTAGTTCTACTAGGGGGCTTAAAAATATCAATAAATCTAACTCAGACGAGCTTTTTTATCTTACGGTTATTAAAAGCGGTAGATTTACTAAAATTATCGTACTATTCGTATAGATTAATACGTTTAATAAAGTTAATCTCCTAGTAATTATTTCCAACAGTTTTAAATATCTAGCGATTTAACGTAGTCTTCTTAATGCCCAAATTAAAGAAGGTTTTAACTTCTATACGCCAATCCAACTTCTTAATTATATAATTATAATAATCGCACTTATAATAAAAACTATAAAACTTAATAGCAATAAATAAAGTAACCTTCCTATCCTTCTTAACTTCTTTAATTTCTCTAATAGGAACCTCCTCTTAGTAGTTAATAATATTGGGTTCTATTAGTTCAATTAGCTAAAGAACGTAGTTATTTGGGTCGATATACTTCTAAAGACCCAAATTTTAGGCTATAAAAATAAAAGCATCTTCCCAAGCCGGCCAGTCCCTAAGGCTATTAAAAGCAACGCTATTAATTTTAATTATAAATATTATTAGTAATCGTTTAATCGGTTATCATTACTGGTGATAGCTTCAACGGTCAAATCAATAAGACTCTTAATTATAATATTACTAGCAATAATCGATATAGTGTTCAATATAGCTTGGTTGTGTGTGTGTGTAAGACTGGCTCTACAGACTCGAAGCTCTGGCATCTGGGTAAAAATCCCGCATATCCCAGTCAGGTTGGGCACGTGCACGCCCAGTGGATCCCCTGGCCTCTAACAGTTTTCATCACTTGATAGGGCTCAGGAACAGACTCGGCATGCGACTAACCCACGTGCATCGCCTGTCACGATACGGTCCACTTAAAGTCTTAAACCCAAGCCCGTTTTACCCCGGATCCATCCTTCTTGCCCCTGACAAGACTTGCCTCGCTTGACTCCCATTTCCCAAACAGGTGTTAGACTGTTATGAAATCCCGTATCCTTGCGCTCTAGGAGCACGCAATGGCATTACAGACCAAAACGCACCATAGCTGTTGTTCTGAAGTTGGAAAACGAGACCAATATCCCTTGCCTCGAACCATCCTCCCTGCAAAGACCAATCTGGTTCATCAAGTCCAGCCGTGCAGCAGACCACTATCGAATCAGAACCCTCAAGGATGTTGATTGGTGAAGGGTAAAACGGGAAAAAAGTCCGGGACAATGTACGTAACCCGGCGCCCCAAGCCCCCAACCCAAGCCCGTTCCTGGACACTACATGTTTCTTGGGTCCTCCGTTCCTGAACACCTGCAACACTGATGGGCACACCAAACGTTCCAAGACATTGGGCCCCCATGGACCTCATTCGGTCCATCCCTGCCGACCCTTTCCCTCTCCCTTGAAGACTTAGACGAAGGACTGGGCCAAGACAAGCCACAACCATCATCCGAAGAGGGTTTCGCATGAGCATATTGCGTGTGATATTGTGTGGGTGTATGAAGTCAGTCACAAAGGTCGAAACTCGGCGGACGAGACACGCGCAAAGTCTGGTCGATCCATGGCCGTCAAGAATTTGGCTCGGACGCTTGGTGAATCCTCCGTCCCGTGCCGGCCATCCATCCATCACCTTCCTTCCTTTCTTTCTACTAGTCCAAGCCTGCCTACCCACACTCGGCCTGCCTGCCGGTCTTGCATGTGTCTAGATGTCCATTGTCTGCCCGTCCAAATTACTTTTCCATTTTGGCCCATCCAGAATCGCATGAGAAGTCTCCTGAGAACATTTGTTACGCGTGATCTAATCTCTCGAACGGTAGATATCTCGGCAAAGCCACGAGCCAACAAACTTAGACGACTACTACCGTGACAGAATACCACCCCTTCCTGCATTCTGCTCTCGGATAACACACCAAGTTAAGGCAGACACACAGCACTGGAAGAAGGGAAGAAGAAAGCTAGAAGCTTTTCGCAACTGAACTGACCGGAGCCCTGGTATAAGGCCCGGCACGCTGGAGACGCGCCGTTTGTGGAAAGGATTTCCCACCTTTTTTCTGTTTGCCGATTTCCTGTTCACGATATCAACATCTTCTCACACACAAACATCAGCCCACCCGAGTCCCTCCTTTGACAACAGCATACGCCACCGGGTCTATCCACTCCTTTCCATCTCCCCTTGAAGGGTGAGCAAACATCGCAGAGTGACAAAACAGTATCAACAGCGACGAATCAAGAGAAGACCTGAATAACGACGAAGCAAACAACACAACCAGAGAATGCTATCCAGACGATAGTCCATCAACATCAAAATGTGGATCGCCGACGGGGCCGTGGCGGTGGTGGTGGTGGACATCACTTTCACCGCGCTGGCCTTCATTACTGTGTGTTTCCGACTGTTTACAAGGGTGGTTCTGGTCAAAAATGTTGGGTCGGATGATTACTATATTGTTGGATCGATGGTGAGTTTACTTCACTTCCTTGTGTTTTGGGTCTGGAGGTTACCTTAAGGTGAATGGAGCGGGGGTTGTCGCCCGGGAAATAGCTGGAGAACAAAGAAAAGAAACGGACCGGGCCGCGCTTATGGTCCTTTTTCCACGTGGTGATGCTTGTCCAGAAGGCTTACGGCAGGGAACCATGGGATTGGGCGGTGACGGGGATGAAGCCATTCCCCTGGTGCTTGTTGGATGTCGATCACTGCTGGATGGAGGTTTGGAAGGAACTTCAATGAACATGGGCGTGATGGGCTAACATTCACCCTGGTTGATAGGTATCGTCGATCGCTTATCTTACCGTGGTGATGATGCGTAAGATCCAACCTCTTCCCCAATACTGTATCTAATAAAGAACCATTGCGACTGACAATGACTTGCAGAGATCAAAGCCGGACTAGGGAGACATCTCACGAGTGAAGATGAAGCAGTCGGGTTCCTATACGTCAGTCCAACCAAGCCCCAGACATACCTAGTAAAATGACGACTTGACCCTGACCAAGACTCTCAACAGGCCCTATGGGCAACCATCTGGATCTACTCCCTCGCCCTCATGTTCGTCAAGATATCCATCACCGTCCAATGCTACCGCGTCTTCCGCACTCCACGCATGCAAAAGTTCTTCAGAATCTACTTCGTCCTCGTCGCCATCTACGGTCTCTGGTCCGTCTTGGGCACTTTTTTTACTTGCTGGCCCATCAACCTCTGGTGGGAGATGGTCCGGCGCGAGGGGCGTCCGGAGGGATTCTGCATGGATAAGAACATAATCACTTTTGCCAATGCGGGCATCAACATCGCTTCTGATCTGGTCCTGGCTATTATTCCCATCCCGTTGCTGTGGAAGCTGCAGATTCCAAAGAAGCAGAAGTTCATTCTGACGAGTCTGTTTGGGTTGGGCATGTTTGCCAGTGTCATGAGTATTGTGAGACTGTCCTCGTTGCAGCAGATTGCGGTGGCGCCTCCTGAGGAGCAGTCGGGTATGTCTCGTCTCCCTTCGTTCCCTTTCCTCCTTTCTTGCCGTGCAGTTTGCTGACCAAAAGAAACAAAACAGTAATGGGCGTCTCCATAGCCATCTGGTCCTGCATCGAAGTCAACATCGCCATCATGTGCGCCTCCGCTCCGGCCCTCAAGCCACTAGTACAGAAAGTCTTCCCCAAGATGCTCCTCTCCGATCTGTACGCCAAAACAAGGGGCGCTTACCACGCTTCCAAATCCAAGTTCGGCGGTGGCGGCGGCGGACTCGGCGGTAGTGGCAAACATGGAGGAGACGGTAAATCAGGATCAACATCCGAGCATTCCGGCATACGAACCCATACAAGATCAGCCCACAGTATCGGCGGCAGCGCCATGCGCTCCGGTAACCACTGCCGACCGGGTGAGATCCAGGTTGAGCACGAGATTGAGATGAAGAGTGTGCCGATTAGTGAGGTGTTGGGCGAGGGTCATGGAGTGCATGGGCATGGGAGCAACATGAACGGCATGAACGGCATGAACGGCATGAACGGAGGACTAGGCTCAGAGGAAGACATTGGAGGGGGTATCGCGGGGAGGATTAGTCCAGCGGGGAGTGAGAGGAATCTGGTGTGGCAGGAAAATGATGCAGTGCCGTTCTATGGGACGGGACAGGCGCAGGGTATGATAGGGCAGGGGAAGAAGGTGACTACTCTTACGACTTGTGAGGCGACGAGTAGGCAGGAGGCGAGGGAGAGGGAGCCTAGGGAGATGGTTTGATGATGTATGGAAATGGGATGGGGAATGGGGGTTTGACTCTCAGTGAAGTGATGTGGACTGTATACCTAACATTGTTTTCTTTTGTTTCTTGGTGTGCTAGGTACACCTCTAGGTAGGTAGGTAGACTTCCCTTTGTTCGAGGGGGATAAAGAAAAGGCAAACGATTGAAGCAGACGTTCCTAGGTACTGTAGCTAATGCTGCGAGCGCTGGCAGGACCGTGAATGAGCGAGTGCGACAGACATCATCACCACCTCGAAGTATTCGGTGTCGTGTCTATGGTGTTATAAAGGCGGCCATGTATGTAATAGGTTCAAAAACTACCTAACCTAACCGCTTCACTAAGGTAGCAAGCATGATGCCTTCCTTTCTCTTAACATCTTCCGTGGTCGTCCTCATTCAGCCATCCCAACTAAAGGCCTAACAACAACCCCAACCCCCTCATTCCCCACCACTCTCAGCTGCCCCTTCCCCGTAGGGCCCGTACCAGCAACACACCAACACTCCCCCTTATTCGGCCCATCGATATACATAATTCCAAACAGCCGCCACGTCTTTTCTTTCCAGAAAAAAATTGATCCCGTCGCACATGCCCCAGCATTGTTCGAGTTGTCTGCACACCCCTCAAAGGGCCGGCGAGGTCCAGTCTTGTTTTGATGATGGGGAGGAGGCCGGGGGGGAAAGGGGGGAGGTTGGAGTCGCAGAGGATTTGGTATTTGAGCGGTTGGGGTTCTGATGCTTGGGGCTGGGGGGAGAAGGAGGAGGGGGAGAGGGAGGAGGAAGGGGAGAAGGAGGAGAGGAGGATGGTGGAATTGGAGGTTGGGCAGGTGAGGTGCGACTGGGCGTTTATGTTGGGCGTGGAGGTTGATAGAGGTAGGGTTTGGATGGTGATGGTTGTGGCTGTAACTGTTGCTCTACTGGTATCTGTGGTGGTCGGTTGTGATGACGATGCTGTTGTTGCTGTTGTCAAGGTGGAGGAGAGAGAAGTGGTGATTTGGGACTGCTGGGCGGCGGGACAAGCGGATGGATCTGTGGTTGTTGTACCTACTAGTGTTGGTTATCCCGATCTTTCTCTACACGCCTCTGAAGGGAAGGAATGGGTTGACGGATCATGACCGAACCAGGACGAAGACAAGAACGAAAACACACCTCCATCATGACTTCCACCACCGCCCGTCTGCCTCAACCCCACCCCCAGTCCAACACCCAACCCAATCGCCGCCGCCACGGTAACGACCAAAGCAACAACCAACGCAAACGTCGACCTTCGCATCCCATATATCCTCTGTTCCCACGTCCGTTTTGTTGCTGCTGGCGGCGGCTGCACATGTTGAGAGAACTTCTCAAACCCGGCGGACGTCATCGGTGTGACATGGAGCGCCTTGTTCCGGACCCCGTTGACGTCGACGTACTCATGGGGTGTGTAGTGTGCTGCAAGGGGTTGTGGTCCGTCGTTTTCTGGCAACGGGCCTTGCTTTGGCGGGACTGCGGGAGGGATGGCTTGCTTCATCCACGTCTCGTCGAGAGGAGAGGTATGATGCGGCTCGAGAGTCACGCTGCCTGTTCTTGTTTGTTGGCTGTCTGTGGTGTGGGAGTGGCGGTCGGCGTCCATCGTAGAGGTAGCTAGAGGGAGGCAGGGGGAGGGATCCTACAGAGCTGGCATGCGATGCATGGAAGTGCGGTAATAGAGAGAAGGAAATGAGAAGATCTGACCCTGAGACAGCTCTCGGGGTTGGAAATACTGATATCCCAACTCTTGTGCCGCATCATCAGGGGCACTCAGTCGGGGGCTGGAATAAGGCGTGGCGATTCGGGGCTGTGGTGAACTCCATTTGATGTTACATCGACCCGGTCAATTTGATGAATGAAGCAATGGCCATTTCAGCTTTCAAGATGTAGGTCCTAACCTTTGTGGGCCCCAATTACTGTTGCAATCTCTTGTGCCTCGAGACCGCATCGTATTGGTATTGGGACGTGGGAAGTAAATTGAGGAACGGAACAGGGTAGTAGTACTATTGACAGGCTTACATGAACGATCATGGGCTCGCTCGCCCTGTTCGAAGCCGTCATCCTTCACGATGTCAGTGTGCCGAGCTCTGGCGACGTGTATCGCTTCTTCCTCGGTCGATGCATGCAGAGAGTGTGGGCTTGGGGTACACGATAGCACCTGGAAATAAGCTCCCAAAAAAGATGGGAGGCTGAGTTTGCTATTTACTTTAGCCTTTGAAATAAAAATACTCTTTATTGACTTGGCCTGTTCTCGGTCATCTGCTTGAGGAAAGTGCTGATGAAGATCAAGAATAAGACGAATGAGTTAGATCGGAATGTAACAATGGAGGCATTACCGGCATTTGGTATAGAGAAGACACTGCGCGTTTTGAACGAGTAATTGGCCACTTTTCTAGAGAGAGGTAGGTGTACATAGGCCGACTGGAGTCCATCTCAATATTTCTAACTACCCGTGTGTATGAGGCTGGCTTATATAAGGGAGGCTGGCTAGACTACACCCACTCTCTTGCAGAGAGTGGGCCACTAAATTCTGGGACACCACTTTAATATGGGACAGCCCAAATTGTATGGAAAAAGCTAGGAAAAGTGTTGGTCTAAAGAGCGATGAAGAGACAACGCCACGACCAAAGTAACTCCAAAGATGAAAATGAAAACGAATGATCCATAGAATTCAATGAAGATAATAGAATTTTGAGAGATTTTTCTAAAGCAGAGGAGTTAGTGTAACATCGAAATCCTATACTGTTCCTTAGTATTCTGGTGTTAGACGATGCATTCCGGTGTTAGACGATGCATCACATTTGGTGAAATTTCCGTCCTTTTTGTAAATGACACTACCCCCGGGTATCGGATCTTCTTAAAAAGTTCCCAAAGTAGCTCTTATACTTCCTCGAAGCTCTCATTCAAATTGCATTTTTCAAATCCTCATTGTCGTAGTGCTACGGCTTTTCCTTCTTGATTGCCATACATTTTTGGTGCTGTTCCCATACAATCTGGACTGTCCCATATTAAAGTGGTGTCCCAGAATTTAGTGGCCCACTCTCTGCAAGAGAGTGGGTGTAGTCTGGCCAGCCTCCTTTACATAAGCCAGCCTCACACCCACGGGTATTGGCTCACTCTATACGTACACTTGGGGCTAAGAGTGGGTAGAGTCAGGTCTTGGGGAGAACATAGTTGGCAGTAGGAGGATGACCGGGCGGCCACGGACACCCGTCATCCAGATTGATACCTCAACTAACTCCATGTAACTTGTTCACAAAAGCATCGCTCTCAATTCCAACATCCCGTCCACTCCCAACACCAACCAACCCACAGCGGCACAGCCGTACATCATCAGGCAATCACAACACCAACCAAAACACACCCTTTACTTCCACCTTCTCATCAGTCTGCTTCTCACCTTCATCTCACCCTCCCGCCTGCCTGATCATAGCGCCCCCAGCGCTGCCGCCCTCCATACATCAGCCGCATCAATCTTCCTAGCCTTACAAACATCACACATTCCCATGTCCTCCTTCGTGTTCGTTACCGACGTCTGCCTGGCCTTACATCCGCCAAAAATCAGGGGTGAGGCCGTGTATTGGGATGTGAGCACTTCGTAGCAAGTGCTTCGGTCGACCTCGGATTTGATTAGGGTCTTGCAGCGGGAGCATTTGGTTTCGTTATAAGTTACTGTGCACATTTTGTGGGGTGGGCTAGGAATGGGGCTTGGTTGGTGGTATTGTAGTATTGTGGTATTGTGTGGTGTAGAATCTAGAGGTAGCGGTAGGTACTGGGTTATATTCGCTTCTTATAGTGCAAGTAGAGACCTAGTCTCTTACTCCTATTGCTGTTTTGCCTCATGGTCGTGAATGGTGAGGCTAGTGGATCATTGAGCGTTAACTATTTGTCAACGACGGTAAAGCCTGTCACTGGGCTTTGTCATATTTTCATCCGAAAGATGGACCGAGGGGACGGCCAATGAATCTGGAAGGTTTGAATTACCCACGTGTCTCGATATAACCCATGTTGCCCATGTTGCCCAAGTGTGCATGTGTCCAAGTGCCCAATATACTATGCAATCCGTACACATTACCGTAGTACTATATGCTAAGGTTGGGGTGGGGGTAACTACCTAAACAAAAGAAAAGTGTAGTCTGTTTCCATGTCCATGGTGTTGTCTGGTTGTCTTTCATGCTTCCTCCACTCTATCCCTTGATTTTGCCTGATCCAGGCTAGGCCAGTCCTCCAAGAATGCCGGTTGTACGTTGTTCCAATGCAACCGCTCATGCTCATGCTTTTCCCCCTCCTCTTCATGCAGATGCAGATGCAAACGCCACCGCTCATGCAGATATCCTCCCCGTATTGCTCGCCGCACCCGATACCGACAACCTCATATACGGCCTCAACTGCTCAATAATCTCCGTCAACTCCTCGTTCTCATCCACCGACCTTTCGCTTCCATCATCATCTCCCTCTTCCGTTCCTCCGTCTTCATCCGCGTACCCATCCCCTGCTTCATCGTCCTCATCGCCATACTCCCTATCGTCGTCGTACTCCCCGTCGTACCGCCCCGCTCCAGGGAAGTATCCGGACAAAGGCCGACCTCCTGGGCCTCTTAATTCTTCTTCTTCTTCTTCTTCCTGTCCTTCTTCTACGGAGGAGACATTACCCCACGTAGAAGGGAAGTACGATATCCTATCGTCGATACTAACGTTTGATATCTGCCTGCTGTGTGCTCCATACCCACCATACCCCCTACCCCCGTAAGTGCTCCCCTCGTCGAATTGACTCCCGTATTCACTCGGCGGTATTTGACCCACCAACCCCTCGCTCATGGGGATCGAATTGATCGACGAGGCACGCGAGTGGTGATCCGCAAACCCACCACCACCGCCATGTAAATAACCCGGACCTGCACCTGCTCCAGGGGTCCGAGGACTGGCTAGGTCCCGATCACTTCCGCTGCCAAGCTCGGATTGAATGACGCTTGCTTCGCCTACTTCGCCGAACTCGCCGAACTCTTCGTCTTCTTCTTCGCCTCCGTCGCCTTTGTCGCCGTCCTCCTGCTGGTAGTCGTTGTCTTGGTCGTAGTCGACTTCGTCGCCGTAGTTGGAGGAGTCACTGTCGGTGTTGCCGGCCATGGCGAGTTCATCGGCTAGAGAGAGGCGGCGGCGGAGGCTGGGGGGTTGTTGTTGGGATTGTGAGAGACCTTGGGGTTGTGGTCGTTCGTCTGCCGGAGAGCAGAGGTCAGTCATCATATTATTATTGCCTGAGAAAATGGCACGAGAAAAAAAGAGCCAAGAACTCACCCTCCTCCCTAATCCCCACCCCCCCCATCCCGTGCACCGTATTCCTCCTCGCACTCGCCCTCGCCCTTTGATCAAACGCCTGTCCGGTCGGGCTCATAGTCATGGCCTCCATCGGACCCCTCGAACCATGTGACGACCCCTGCGACGACCTCAGATTCGAATACGACCGCGAATTGCCCAGCGTCGTGTGATCAGAAAAGTCATCATCGTTGAACATGATGCTTCGCTTCCTGTGCATCATGCCCCCGGAACCATTCGGTGCCGTGCCGGGCCGCTTCTGGTTATAGCTACCCCGTCTCTGGCCACCACGAGAAGGAGCCTCCTCCTCATGAGGCGGCGGAATAGTAACGAGACTTATCCTCCTCGGCGCGCGCGGCTTCCACGACGTGGGACTTAGCTGGGCGGAGCTTTGCGTGTGGCTGGTTTGAGGCCGACTGTCACGGGCTGGCTGCGACACAGGGACAGGTACCTCGCTGCTGAGATCCCGGCGCTCTAGTTCGACAGCCCGACGAAGGATGCGATCGTATCCTTCGTAAAAGTGCTGCTGGACAGGCTCAAAGTTAGCTCCGCCGCCGCCAGCGGCTTTGTTCACTTGCTTGACCAGCTGCAGCTGGCCCTCGGTGAACTCGAGCGATTCGATGGCGAGCTGGATGGCGGCGTTGACGCGCATTTCGGCACGCAGTTCCTGGATGACGGCGATGCTGACGCCCGGGTTCTCGGCGGCCAGGTCGCGGTATTCATAGGCGGGCTCGAAGCGTTCGGGGACGGGGGCGAGGCGAAGAGGAAGAGGAGGACCAAGGGGTGAAAAGTCGGGTGAGATTTCACCTTGTGTTGTGCCAGCTGGTGCCGATTCCGATCTGTTGAGTCCGGGTTTAACGGGCGCCTCATCTAGTTCCAAACTGAGTGTCCTGGTCTTCAACGACTCTTGGTGCTGCTTCATACTGAGACCGGTCTCGGCAGCATGAGGGCGTTCCAGGGTGACGAGTGTGTCGGCAAGGGCCCGATGCAGGCCGCCGAGGGTGCCCGAGAGGACCTCGTTCCATCCCTTGGGGTACTCATCGTGCGGCAGGACCTCGGCCATGAACATGTTGAGGGCATCTTGGAGGCTCTTGCCCATGAGCAGCATCGCCCCCACCAGGGCGTCCTTATCGGCATCCTTCAGTGAGTGAGGCAGGTTCGCTTGTTTTCGTGCCTTGATGTGGCCGTCGAGCTGTTTGACAATTGCGACGGGGTTCTCGGCGGCGACCCGTTTGCGATCCGAGTCGCCGCGACGGAACAGCCATGTCCCGATGTCGGGCAGTGGAAGCACGGCCATTTCCGGGTCCGGGTCCGTTCCGGGTCGGCGGGTTCAATGACTTCAGAGGTAAGGGCCCCGCACCGGCCGGATCCAGATGTTGAGGGGAACCGTGGCGCCGGGAGGGGAAAAGGGGTAAAAATGGACAAATGAGACAAGTACCACCCTAATCAAATGAGTGGTGGTTTGGACTCCAACTGACTGGAAAGCGTCCCCAAAAACAACAATCAGATAACAATAGCCTAGAGCATGGGATGGAATGGCCTTGTTGAGGACAAGTGGTTTAGGTTGGGATCCAGTCCAGATGTGGATATGGCGGTGTGCTGTGGTGGGCTGGACTGGTCGTTTGAGAATTGGAGACTTCACATGGGGTTGCTCCATTCGGCTTGTCACCTTGGCCACCTCAACCCACATTGGTCAATTGGACTGGCTGTCACTGCCGCCGCCGTTGCTGCAGTGAAAAAACATTGGATGTGCGCTTACCGCAATCTTTCACATCCAGTGCCACGCGCCGCTGCCGCCAAAAGCGCAGGTGCAGGGCCTGTCACGCTCTGTCAGGGGACGCTAGACCCCGACATGCGTGTGGGGCTCTATGGCGCCAATGTCATGGAACTCGTCACTCCTCCTCCGCGGTGTTGAATGGCATTTCCCCGCACGGCATCGTATGCCCTTTAACACAGGAACGACGAACACCAAAATGTGGAAAGAAAAAGACGACAAGAAGAAGGTTTATGAAAGGGGTGAATGAGTTTTTGTCCAAGCTTGGAGGTTCGCTCGGTTCAGGGGGTCATGTAAACGCGACACGGCCCGTTGCATGCGGCGCGGATACGGGCCCTAGGCGTGGGTGGGCGTTGATGTTAAGGTTGGCATGTGCCTGACAATGGAGCAGTAATCCCACAACCCGCCATCACGGTACAAGTCAGACAGAAATTTATTGCCCAGAAAGATACCTTTATAAAGGATGATAGATCAAACGTACTCATGAAAAGAAGCCCAGACATCCCCCCTCGAGCCCCCCTCCTTCATCCTCCGCTAACACCTCCCCCCCCACAGCCAGGGTTAGGGTCCAGCTCCCCATCCAACTACCGATATACACGAGAGCACGAGAGCCCAGACATCGGCCACCCGGCCCAAAGCCCCCAAATCCCCAAATTAATTGTCCGCTCGGCTCGGATCACGGTTCCATTGGCCATGTGCAGCAAGAATAAGAAAAAAACTCCTATTGGTACCAAGACTCCCTTCCATCTCTCAAGGATCAGGGCATGATGCAAGCCAAAAGGGACGGCCCGAGCACTACTCGCGCGAACTGGTATGGATTGCATGGAAAGAACTGTTACCTTAGTGTAACGGAACGAACGCCGCGACCCGTCCCCAATATCCCCCACTCGCTTGGAGCGGCTTCGGAGCTTCTTGGGAGCTTGGACAGCATCGATGCACAGGTAAAGTTCGTCCCTTGCTTCTGACGTATGAGATCTTTCTGGACGGAGGGGGCCTATCATATCAGACATGGACCTATGAGGTGGTGGTCTTGTGTACGAGGTACCTAGGTGCTGAGGACTTGGAGGAACATGAAGGGAACGGGACTGGAGTGTGGGCTGGCTGGCTGGCTGGGAGCGCCAGGCGGGAATGTGTAACATCACAGCAGAAGAAGCACACGCTGCAGGAGAAGAAGAAAAGAAGACGGGGTGGCGAAATATCGGTTGAGCGAGAGATCAGGATTCGGGAGGTGTGACGGATGAATCGAATGAAATTGATGAATCACAGGTAGTTTCAGCTGGTATTTAACCGTCGACCCGTGGGACACTGGAACACTGGGACATGGGGCAACCGGAACGGGACGTAGATCATATGGTACAACGCAGCGGCATATAAGGGAGGGCAAGAGCAGCCAGATCTACGCTTCTTGTCTGTCTTAAGTGTTCAGTTCAACATCGCAACCTCCGTCCTCTCCTAGACTTTCCCCTCCCACAACACCAAACCACCGAACCACCAAATCACCAAAACACCATCACCATCACCACCATCACAGCATCACAACCAAAATGTCCACCTTCCTCCTCCTCCTCTTCTCCCTCCTCACCCTCACAACCCTCCTCTACCTCCGCCTCCACCACCTCCGCTTCCAGCAATATGCCCACATCCCACAACCCCCTACCTCCCTAATCTGGGGGCACATGTCCCTCCTCCACCGCTTCATGTCCCGCGGCGGCCCCTCCGACAGACACATCGACCTCGCCCTCACCGAAATCTGGCACTCCCTCTCCCGTCCCCCCTTATTCCTCATGGACTTGCGACCTGTGGGGCCCTGTCTTTGTATCATCGCCTCGCACCATCTAGCTGAGCAGATCTCGAGGTCTTCTGCTTCTGCTACTCATAACTTTCCTTATTCGGTCCCCAAGTCTTATACGGTTGGGGAGGAGTTAAAGCTGCTGGTGGGGCACGACTCGATTATTATCAAGGAAGGGCATGAGTGGAGGGAATTGAGGAGGCGGTTTAATCCGGGGTTTGCGCCGGGGCATTTGATGGGTTTACTGCCATGTGTGGCGGAGAAGGGGTGGATGTTTTTGAGGCTGTTGGAAAGGGTGGCTAAGGAGGGGAAGACGGTGAAGTTGGATAAGTTGACGCAGGGATTGACGGTGGATGTGATTGGGGAGGTGGTGATGGAGGTGGATGTTGGGGCGCAGGAGGAGCTTTTGGGGAAGGGGGATTTGGGTGAAGAAGATGGAGATGAAGATAGACATGATGAACAGGAGGGACTGACGGAAATGGAAGAGAAAGAAGAAGAAGAAAAAGGCCAAATGTCCAACTTCACCAAAACCTACTACCGCCTCATAACCTCCTACGCCGCCGACGGTAAACCGCCCATCGAATGGTTACAGCTTTTAACCAACCCCTTCAGTCGTCAACGCCGCCAGCATCTCTCCCAGAAAGTCGACACCTTCCTCCGCGACTTCGTTCAGCGCAAACACTTGAGTGAGTTTCACGCCCACACCTCCCAACAACAACCCCAATCCCACCCCTCCACCACCACCACCTTCACACAGCACGGATCCAAGACCGCCGCTCCGAAATCCCGCTCCATCCTCTCCCTCTCCCTCAGCGACCAGACAAATTCCCCCGTCCTCCCGGAGAAGATACTCTCGACCACAACCGACGCCCTCAAAACATTCCTCTTCGCCGGGCACGACACCACCGCCATCTTGATCGGTTGGGTGCTCTACTACCTCTCCATCTGCCCGCGCGCACACGCGCGCATTTGTTCCGAACTGGACTCCCTTTTTGGTGGTCCCTCCGCTTCACCAGCTGAGATCCGTGCTCAACTGTCGGGTCCCGAAGGACCAGAGAAGTTGAATCAAATGGTCTACACCCACGCCGTAATCAAGGAAGCCTTGAGATTGCATCCACCCGCTGGTACGGCGAGACGAGCCGAGGTTGGCTCTGGGTTTGTCGTGACTGAAGAGAAGGGCGGAAGAGGAGAAGGAGGGGAGTGGAACTTGGATGGGATGGTGCTCTACAACTGCGCCACCATCATACACCGCGATCCCTCCGTTTATGGAGAAACAAAGGACGAGTTTTGGCCTGAGCGGTGGTTATCCGAGTCTGAGAACAAGGGAGAAATTCCAGCAGGAGCGTGGCGCCCCTTTGAGCGCGGACCGAGGGATTGTATCGGCCGGGATCTGGCGATTATTGAGGCCAAGGTTGTTGTGGCTTTGGTGCACAGGCGGTATGAGTTTGTTAAAGTGGGGTTGGGGGAGAAGGTGTTGGTACCTCAAGATGGGCCTGATAGAGAAGAAAGGCCGGTGGTGGATAGGACGGGGTGTTGCATGGTGAAGGAAAAGTTGTATACGAGGAGGCAGGTGACGGCGAGGGCGGCGGATGGGATGAGGATGAAGGTGAGGTTGGTGAAGGGCGTGGTGGGGAACTTGGAGGGTTGAGTGATGGGGTTGTGGACTGTGGACGGGGAGGAAGGAGGGATGGGATGTGATGGGGAGGAATAAATACGATGGTACAAGCTTTGCAATCGGTCTGGAGATCTCCAGTGGAAAACAAGCAATAGTTAATGTTATTTTGATAGATACCCAGAACCCGTTCAGGCTGGTCAAGGTGATGCTCAGCTTGTCGTGTACGCCCATCCATTTGACCCCTATCCCATTTTCCGCAATCCCGCTGTCTCCGAAAAGGTATCATGCCACGAAAGAAATACAAATAGGTATCATAGAAAGATAAAGAAAAGAGTAATCAGAGGACCTAAGATGATGCCTTGGGCTTCTTCCTAATCAGTCCAGCCCCCAGCACATTCACCTTTGGTGGTTCAAGCACCAATGGGTTAACAGCATCACTTGGTGTTGCTGTAGCCGTCCCATTCTCGGTAAAGGGGTCCTCTAGCCCATTAGTCTTTACATCCGCCGCGCCACTCTCAACAGCAGCCGGCTTCTTCTTCCTCACCAACCCCGTCAAGTTATTAACTGGAGCTGCGCTTCCCCGACCAGCAGTGGCACTCGTCACAGTCTGGACCCGCCTCCCAACAACCTCATGCCCCCATTTAGCACCCATGCCAGCCTCGCTGATCCATCGCTTGGTGGCACTGCAAGCCTTATCCAGCGTCTCAAAATCGAGCTGCAGCAGTAGCTCCACCACACGCTTGTAATCGTGCTCATCCACGATAAGGTCGCCACGGCCCTCCGCTGGCCAGTGGTAGTAGGCCGTGGTATTTGGTCGCTTGAAGAGGTAGTTTCGTTGGTGTTTCTTGATTTTGGGAACACGAGGGGTGATGCGACCTTTTAGCTTCCTTTTCTTCTCCTTGTCTTTCTTGCTGGTCTCCTTTTCCGTCCCAGGTTGAGAGGCAGCTGCTTGGCCTGCTGTAAAAGAGGCCTTCAGCGGACTAGCCTGTGGTGTACGGACCGGCGCATCAGCACGACGCTTTGGTGGAGTTGAAGGAGGGAAGGCGGTAGAAGCATCGAAAGAGCCGGTCGGGGTCATGAGTGGCGCGGTTGCAAAAGCCGTCGAGAACGAAGCCGTCGTGGCTTGTGTCGCCTGTTCTTCTATCTCCGACTCCTTGGGGTCAAAGACCAACCAAATGAACCCCGTAAGCCGCCCAGACGAGCACTCCTGCCTGAAGGCCATGGTATCCCAAAACTGGTTTAATGTCCTGATGCTTTTCCAAGTTCCCATATCCTGCTTCCACTTTGCAGACTCCTCGTCAAGCTCATCCCTATAACGGGACTTTGGGTCGTCTGGGTATCGCGGTATCAGACATCTAGGCGGTACCCAGTCGAACTCCTGAGTATAGTGGGATATCCTCTCCATGGGATGGCCAATTACCCAATCGTTGGCGCTGGTGACGGTCCGTGGAATGAAGGCGCGCATGTCCCGCTCTTCCAGGCCAGGAACAAGAAGGTACCCTCTGGTGGCCGCAACTCGATCGTCCTTGCGCTGATCTTCCAAAAGTGGATTGAGAACCCGACACCACCACTTGATCAGACCCCTGTCACTAAGAATGTGCTTCTCCCTGCCCGGACCGATTCCGTCGTTTTCACCACTGCCCGGGAAGAGGTACTGGTGCTGCGCACGGCCGAAGAGGTTGACGACGGAGACAATGTGTTTGCGTCGTCGATGTTGGATGAGGTAGGATACGAAGGTCGAGCTGACTTGGCTGATGGGGGAAGGGCCTCCTCTCGGCAGCTTGAGAAGATGGAGGTAACCGGTCGAATCGGCCTTGGAGACGAACAGGACGGTCTGGAAGGCTGTCGTAAAGATGAACACCTCAATGGCGAAGGCGATAACTTGTTTTGTTGTCGTCTCGGTCGACTTGGCCTCGTCAGCGCCAGGGGAAGACCGCTTGATAGCACCAGTGACGGGGGCTTCGATCGAGAGGGCGAGGAAGTGCTTTTCGCAGTATGTCTTGTCGGCTTTCTCTCCCGGAGGAGCTGCGTAGAGAGCATCGGTGCGGGTGGGTGGTGTCGATAGGTGGTGGATGGAGAACTTCAAGTCCTTTGGCAGCACAGAAGCAAGCTTTTCCAAAAGTTCGTTCGTGGTATTGTTTGCGGTGCTCGTGGTGCTTCCACCTGCATTCACCTGGTTGGAGGAGCTCATCTTGGCCGAGGAAGAGTCGCGATCGTGTTTGGAAACCGTGGAAGGGGTCGACGACGAGGATGCCATTGCGGGTGCTGAAATGGTCAGTGAGGTCACAAACCGGAGTACATGGTGAGGATGAGCACGGAGTGCCTTGGGGAAGAGCAGCTTTTTGTTGAAGAAAAGTGCTGGGGAAGAAAAGGGAGGAGATGAAAGGAAGAAGAGACAGCCTTGTTCAACTGCAAGGGACGCGACAAGCACTGACAGGGCGCCGTGTAAATCGATTCGCGGAGCTGCCCCTGCTCTTCTAAAGTTCTCTCTCAAAAGGTACCTGACTGATGTACCTTTTGAACAGACCAAGACGGGAGGGATTGATGGTCGAACTAACCTCAAGCGGCTAGCTTTCTTGAGAATTGAGGCCCCGCACTTTGCTGAGCTTAGAGAATTGGCCAATCGTCAACGGCCAAAGTCTGGACTCTGGAGAGGTAAACCGATATGGCGCACAGACCACCCGAGCTAGGCCGTATCGAAGCCTGCCGAGGGGTCCCGTCCCTCAATCGGTCGCAAAAAATTCCCGTCTGCCGTCCCACTCCAGGCGCGCGAACGGACCCGGAGCCTTGCACAGCGACCCGTCGAAACAGCCTGTGCACCGACCGCGCCGACCGACTGCCAGCCGCGCGACATCCTTCTTTCACGGTCTCCGGAATCTTTGGTGTTTTGCGATCGAGAGTGGAACGGGCGCCCATCCGACCTCGACATCTTCTACCCCACGACCCGGTCTCATCCACACATCCACCTTCAACTTCGAAGCATCTCCACGGTCTCGCCCCGGGTCGTCGCATCTCCAGTCGCATCCAAATAAAAAAACCGACAGTAGACCACAATGGCCGCCCTCACACCCTCCCGTTCCGTCTTCGCTTCGACATGCAAGACCGTCGCGCAGCAATGCTCTAGGCGACCTGTCGCTGTCCAACAACTCGCTGCCGTTCCCGTCGCCCGCCAGGTCTCGTCGTCGTCGGCCGTCCAACAAGAACAAGATGCATTCGGCAGCTCGCAGCAGCCCAGGCCAAGGTGGTCGTACACCCCCGAGCGCATGAAGGGCCCCGGTTTCTCCCTCAACCTCGTCAAGGACCCCAGGCGCAAGCAGTGGATGGTCAACAGCGACCCGGCAAAGTTGGATGCGTTCTACGAGGCCTTCCTCGGCCAGGGTGGCGCCAGGATGCTATCAGAGGAGACCAAGTGGCTGGCCGTCACCCACAAGAGTTTCGACTACGGAAGGAGAGGTTACAACACAAGGCTGGCATTCCTCGGTACGTTTTGGCTATGGATTGGAGAACACGGAATTTGGACTGTTTGAGAAGGGGAAAGGATATGGGGAGGGAAACCAGAAAGAACGCTACGGCAGCACAGGCTACGGACCACGGCTAACAAAGTTCTGCCAGGCCGTCAAATAATCGCCCTCGAGACTACCCGCTCGATCCTCACCAGCCCCGTCCTTAACGAGCCCACCGTCGACAAGTACGGCCGCACGCCCTACAACCACGCCGCCTTGGCCAACATCGACAAGCTCATTTACACGCAACCGCTAGACATTATGGACAAGACCAAGATCGCAAGGATGGGCATCGACCTCGGCCTGCTCACCGTCATGCGGTGGAAGCCCAGAATGGTATGATGTACTACGCTACACTACCCAGAGCTGCTGCTAACACGAAACCTTGTGACTCTTTAGCCCGAAGATCTCGAATCCTCCGGTGTCGTCGTCGTCCTCAACTCAACCCTCTTCGCCGTCATTGGCGCCATCTCGTTAGAAAAGGGTGCCGCTGTCGCCCAGCGCATCGTCAGAGAGAAGATCCTCAAGAGGCTCGGAGCGTAAGATGCGCTCCTCTTGAGAAGGAGAGAAAAGAGGAAGTGAAAGAAGAGAAGCATCCCTTTATTGTATACACCCCTGTACTATATCGATGGGCATAGAGGCTGGCATAATCCCGCATACCCATTTCATGCCTGCGGGCCGGAGTCCAGAATGATTATTGTTTGCATGCAAGATGGTTTTGTCAAGTCATTTGAGGGCTGCGACATTGCTTTTTAAGAATCGCGGAAGTTGAAGTGTGTTGCATGTTATGGACTAACCGTGGAGCTAACAGCAGAGAAAGCAAACGACATGATATCGGACCACGAAGGAGCCGGCAGAGAAACGTACAGCTCACTCGCTCGAACTCAACAGCCGGCAGACCACAACGTACCGCATTACCAGCGGTAACTTGCCAACCTTCAAAGGACCCGATCGTCAGCAACTCTCCGACAACCATCAACCATCTTCACACCCGGAGCAGCTTGGCCAGTTTCAGGACTTTCTGGCGTTCCTCACACTCGTTCTTGCTCACTGGTACTCAACCCCGTACCGCACTCCCTTCCCCAAAAGGCAACACATCTCGGTATCTGACGGTGGAAAAGCGTGATATCGCATACATTGGCGGCCAGCGACAGACAAGAGTATTTCCCAACCTTCCTGAGGCGGGCATCAACGATTTGAGTTAGACAGAGGAAAGCACATCACGCACAAGAGTCAAAAAGAACACCATAAGCCAATGACTCATTTGTCAACCTGAACACCAGCCTACAGGGCACAATGAAGCGATGACACGTTGTACTTTGCTCTATGTTTATTTCCACATAACCAGTCAGTTGTCTTACCCCTTTTTCTTTGTTTATCTCCGTCAAGCGCATCTTCAACCGTGGCGGGCGAGGAGCAAATGCAACCCTAACCCTCACCAGGTGTCAGATGTGCACGAGCCACCTCCAATCCACTGACGAGACCGAAGATCGCTGGAGCAGTCTCGGCCTTCTGGAAATTTCACCATTTCACAAAGGCGACTTGCAAAATCTCAAAACTTTACAACCTCCCACCTACCCTTGCAAATATTCTTCATCGGAATATCGCCGATTGTTCCTTTGGACTTAAACAACCATTCCACTCATTTTACAGCCGTTGCCCATCATGCCCACCACCACGGATACCGTACCCGTCGGTGACTTCGAGCAGCAAACTCATAAGTTCCTCGAATGGTTCACCAGCCAGCCCGGCGCCACCTTTCACAAGGACATCAAGCTCGTTGATCTGAGAGACAAGAGTGCCGGCCGTGGCATCAGTAAGTTTTTCTTTTCCTCATCTCTACGCAGTCACGAGATATCGTCGAGTGTCCATCACCTGTCTCATTCCGAGTCCAGGACAAACTCACGGCTCACATCATGAACCTTCCCCATCATAAATCCTCACTAACACCACCCACCAGTCGCAACCGCCCCCATCCCCGCCGACACAACCCTCTTCACCATCCCGCGCCCCTCCATCCTCTGCGCCGCCACCTCCCCCCTCGCCAGCAAGCTGCCCTTCCTCTTCAAGGGACCCGCCGAACCCACTGTCGCCGAGGAAACCGAGAACCACACCGCCGACGATGACGACGTCCCCGCAGCCGAAGAGGACCAGGAGGAAGACCCCAACTCTCAGGACTCCTGGACCCTCCTCATCTTGATCCTCATCCATGAGTACCTCCAGGGTTCCGCATCGGCCTGGTTTCCGTATTTGTCGGTTTTGCCGCAAAAGTTCGACACCCCCATGTTTTGGACTGGCGAAGAGTTGGGCGAGTTGCAGGCCAGCGCGCTGGTGCCGAAGGTCGGGAAGGAGGAGGCGGATGAGATGATCCGGACGAAGATTGTCAAGGTTGTGAAGGAGAACGAAGCCGCTTTCTACCCTGCTGATTCCCCGGCGGCCGAGAAGAAGAAGTTGTCTGAGGAGGAACTCCTGGCTCTGGGGCATAGGATGGGATCAGCGATCATGGCCTACGCTTTTGATCTCGCCAAGGAAGATGATGAGGATGAAGAGGAAGAGGATGGTTGGGTAGAGGATAAGGTTGCTGCGCAGAATGATACCATGGGCATGGTCCCCATGGCCGATATGCTCAATGCCGACGCAGTCTTTAACGCGCACATTAATCACGGCGAGGCGTGTCTGACTGCTACTTCGCTAAGGGAAATTAAGGAAGGGGAGGAGATTTTGAATTACTATGGCCCGTTGAGTAGTGCGGAGTTGTTGAGACGGTATGGGTATGTCACGAAGAACCATGCTAGGTACGATGTGGTGGAGTTGGGGTGGGAGTTGGTGGAAGGAGGACTGAAAGAAATGGTGGAAGGGGTGAAGGGACGGAAGAAGGAGGTGGATTGGAGTAAGGTTGATGAGCTCCTTGAGGAAGAAAAAGAGGAAGGAGAGTGGGAGGATAGTTTTGTTTTGGAACGCCAAAGCGAGGATCCTGATTCTGAGGGGCAAGTGCACGGTGAAGCGGAGTTTTTGGGGCTGCCGGAGGAGCTGGAGGAGCAGGTGAAGGTGTACCTGAAGGTTGTGAAGAAGGTGGTCGGGACGGGGGATAGGGCGGTGGCGGAGGCGTTGGGGAATAAGGTTGTGAAGAAGGAGATCTTGTTGGGTGGCGTGAGGAAAGCGTTGGAGGAGAGGGAAGGGCAGTATGCTACGAGTCTGGAGGAGGATGAGAAGGTGTTGCAGGGGATTGAGGGCGGGAGACCGACGACGAGGAAGGAGATGGCTGTGTGGGTTAGGGCGGGCGAGAAGAGGATCATTAGGGAGGCGGTGGCGTGGGTTCAGAGGGAGGAGGAGGAGTTGAAGCAGGCGAAGGGTGGGGAAGAGAAGGATGAGCCTGCGGCTAAGAAGAGGAAGGCTTAGAGGAAAGTTTAGTTGGTATTGCTGGAACTATCTACGGGTATGTCAGTCGTCCATGATCTTTCCACCACGTTCTCCAGCCAGATTCTTCCACCTCATTCCCTAGTCTGGTTCTTCCACAACCAGCCTTAGTCGGCAAACTTCCATCACTCGCGTCCCTGTCAACAAGTTAGAAAAAAACGACACTACATCTGCGATCAGGAATAATTTACCTCTTATCTCCCATCATTCCTTGCCAGGCCGGGCCACACCTGGACCCCTTCCTCTCATTCTTCAAGCAGTGGGAGCACTAGGGGCACTGGTAGCACTGGTAGCACTGGTAGCACTGGTAGCACTGGTAGCACTGGTAGCACTGGTAGCACTGGTAGCACTGGTAGCACTGGTAGCACTGGTAGCACTGGTAGCACTGGTAGCACTGGTAGCACTGGTAGCACTGGTAGCACTGGTAGCACTGGTAGCACTGGTAGCACTGGGAGCAATGGGAGCACTGGGGCGGCAAGTGCTGCATTTGCCCACCAGCCTGATGGGGTCGCTGAACTCCGTAACGGGGACGCAAGGCGGGGGGTAATCTTTGTCCTTGGGGTCCATCAGGGTGCGCTTCATCTTGGTCTGACACTGCGACTCGCACCATTCGGTGTGGCCGCAGAGGGTGAAGAAGTATTGCTTCTTGGTGCACATCTTGTTGTCGTCTTCGTTGTTTTTTTTTTGCTTGAAGTGAGTAAGTCTTTGCTTTGCTTTGCTTTGCTTGTTGCGTGGGTTGTTTTTTACGTGGAGTGCGTCTATGCTTTGCTTGTTTCTTGGGGTGTTGTTCAAGGTGCGATTGGAAGAGAGGAGAAGGAGGTCCTTGGAGGTGCTCTTATACCTCTCTCTTGAGCCTCCTTGGAGGAAAAAAGGAGGAAGTGGTTCTTCGTGCTATTGTTCTGGCTTCACAATAACTCGGTCTCGTTAAGTTCAACCTGAATCAAAACGCGTACAAAAGCTATCACGCGGGTCCTATGATTCTGCTATCTGATGTTCCTAGCGGAGTCGACAGTACAGCCATTAGCGAGTGTTATTGACGAGAGAACAACACAAATGTCAGGTGCATGCGTTAAACTTCTCTTCCATCCTATCTCTGACGTCTAGGCCTGTCAGATACCATTGTGGTACTCTTCGCACCTCTAGGCACGGACCTGTGTAAAGCCTTCTCTATCACTTAAGACCAGACGAGTTAAGAGCCGCCATGAGACACAGACTCACAGCACGTGGGTAGGTAATTGAAACCTTCCAGATTCATTGGCTGTCACCTCGGTCCATCTTTGGATGAAAGTTCAGTTACAGCACTCACACGCCTTGCCACTGGGAATGGTCAACATTCAATGATCCATCGGCCTCATCATGCACGATCATGAAACAGAAGCGCAGCAGCAAGAACGTCTCAACTTGCACTATAAGAGCCAAAGCAAAGACAATTCAATACACAATAGTCCCCTTCTATTCTTTCCTTATGGGTAACGAAGCCACCCGAAGAGTTTATTTCTATTCACACCGCCATACTAAGCCTACAACAATACTATCAGCCCACGCGCACCACCCCATTTACAACCCCCTTTCAACCACCAACACCCTCACCAGCCCCATCTACCAACCCAGCCCCATTCCACCAAAATGTGCACAGTAACCTACAACGAAATCAAATGCTCCCGCTGCAAGACGCTGATCAAATCCGAGGTCGACCGGAGCACCTGCTACGAAGTGCTCACTTCCCAGTATACGGCCTCCCCTCTGGTTTTTGGTGGATGTAAGGCCGGGCAGACGTCGGTGACGAACACGAAGGAGGAGGGGATGTGTGATAGTTGTAAGGCTAGGGAGAGGACGGCGAATGTATGGAGGGGGGCAGCGATGGGGTGATAACGGTGAGGATGTGTTTAACGTAGGGAGGACGAGCAGAGCCGGGGTGAGGGTGAGTGAGGTGAAGGGGAGATAAAAATGAGTGGAAGTTGTTGGTGTTGGCACTGGACGGTGTGACTGATGATGTAGGTAGGTACGGTTGCCGGATTGTTGGAACTGAGCGTTGGGAATGAGAAACGATGCTTTGACTTGCAAGTACCTCTACATGGAGTTATTTGACATTCCGGATCCGCGATCTTCGGGCTTCATGCTGCCTGCCTTTGGCGTTGTGATTCCACCATCTTCTGAGAAAAGCGGGCAGTGACGCCATATCAAATTTCAACAACGCCTGATTGCTTTCTTTCTACCTCTAGGTACCTGCCTAGGTATTTCATACTTGTAAGAAGCTCCACGGTAATGCCTCCAGGGCTACCATCGTTTCCATCTACCTTACTTTGACCGAGGCGGCTCGCGGACACCTTTCGTACCATACTTGGAAGAAAGGTACCCAAAAACCAAATCGTCATTACGTCCGAGAGATTCCCTGACACGAGGTGGATTCAACATCCAATTTGAATCATCTTTAGGCCACCGGGAACGAAAAGTCTTAAAGTCCCTATGCCCCTCAAGTTCACAGTTTAGGCTACAACTGAAGCCCCAGGAGTCCATGGGCACCAGTTTCATCCACCCTAGCAAGTAAGTAGGCCTATTTTTCTTCCGTATCTCCTCACCGAGCTCTGCGAGCTCCTCATTCAGTTGCCGCACCCCCTCATCGCGCAAAGCCAAATCCATTTCCTTCTCCTCTTTGGTTTTCCCCTTTTTTTTCTCGAGTGCTTCCTCCAACCCCGGTATTTTCTTGCCTGTAACAATGGTGACAAGCTTTTCCATAATGGTGGATTCAGAAGCTTCCGTGTTACTGGATTCGGGAGTCGTTGTCGTCGTCGGCTCGATATGATGGCCACGGTTGCAAAAACCTAACTTCTTGCCACGACACTGCCCGTGCTTGACAACCCAATCTGCGACAACACATTTGTATTCAAACGGGTTGAAGCTATCGTGCAAGGGTGGCGGGTTTTCTCCTAAACGAACGGCATCACAGAGCTCGGTTCTTGCGATGATACACCCGCACTTGGGATGGTAGTCGCCATAGACCTTGCACATTGTCAATGTCGGTGCCTCAGCTTGATTCTTGCAAGCGTGGATGTGATGTGCTATTTGGGGTAGCTTGACGTGGCTGAGATTCGAACAGCCTGGTTGGAAGCAAAGGGGATCTTCGTAACGCTAGAAACACTCGGAGGCGGCTGGAGTTCTCTGGTGTTTTGCGGATGTATGGGACGCTCTGGATGGAAGTTGTCGCAGCGCCGATGGTCTGATGAATTTAAGATTGTGTCCGCCCAACTTTTGGACTTCGGACTCGGGGTTCTTATAGAACTAAACGCATAGAGGCAGTTCTCATCGTCCTTGAAAACTCCAATACCAAGTGAGAATGGACATCGTGACTAGTAGACGCCCTCCAAGCTCTGGTCATTGTGTGTTGGATGTTCATGTTGGCAGCATCACGTTGTCCTCGAAAACTCCAACACGAAGAACATCGTGATTAGTAGACGCCTTCCAACCAAGCTTTGGACATTGTGTGTTGGATGTTGACAGCATCGAAGCGCTCTGTTGTTCACTTGATGCCTCCTGTGATCATCAGGAGATGCTTTGTATGAATAAGGTAGTGGTGTTAGTTGACGCGTACTAATCCTCGCTGGCGTTGGTGTCGGTATTACCATGTGTGGCGGCTTTGTTGGCTAGGTAGGGGTACATATAGCTTGTGCCAAGATCAATCTCCTTTATGCCCCTATCGACTAACGACCCAACGACGCTCCCAGCCCTGTTCTTATCCCCCAAATGACAAAGGCATGGATGGCGAGGAACAAGCTTTTAGCTGGCAAACCATGAGGCACGTACACCAACTGCCAACCCATAACACCAACACGCCAAAGAAACATCGCCATGTCGTGCTCCCACTTGCAGCGTCTGGTCTAGCAGATGAAGCTACCGCAGTGAAAGTAACTTCTTCGATGTCCAACTGCCAACCCATAACACCAACACGCCAAAGAAACATCGCCATGTGGTGCCCCCACTTGCAGCGTCTGGTCCAGCAAATGAAGCTACCGCTGTGCAGTGAAAGTAACTCCTCCGATGTCCAACCGCCAGTCTGCTAGACCAGTCCTGTCCTGTCCTTGAAAGAGCATCACTGTGAAGCCAACTGTCCATGTCCATATCCGCCCTCTAGACAGGTTGACGCTGGGCGACCAGCATATCAATCGTAGAGGTAGTAGGTAAGGTAGTTGTAAAGGTTGATACCCTCGTCAAGCGTTTTCCCACTCCTCAAACACATTACGACATCTAGGTTATGTTTCCTAGTATATGCCCTTTTCTATCCAAGCGAAACAAAAACATTGCGGTCATGACTCCTCCATCCCGGCCTGCCTTTTTATACGTCCCCCATCCATCATCACATCACCTTTGATGCACAGAACCGCATAAGCCAACAAAACAGGAACAAGTTCCTCCAATCTTACAAACACCTCTTCCTCCACATCCAACACCCTCACAATATACTCCCCGGCATACCTTAATCATCCGCGTCTCCACCCCTCCCCACCACTAGCTTCACTCAACTCCGGCAACCGATATCCCATTCCCCCAATTCCCCTTTGCATCTCCCTCTCCCTCTCCCTCTCCCTCTCCTTCTGTTCCTCCCTCGCCCGTCTGATCGCACACCCGCCCAACCTCATCAACTCCCCCATGAACTCATCCACCGTCTTCAAGTGCAGCAGTTCCGTCTGCGTCGGTCGACGGATGCGTATCCCTTTGATCAAATCCGGAGCGGATTCTAGCAACCGCAAATCGTCTTCGGCTTGTGGGTCTAAGGGGTTAAGTAGGATGGAGCAGAAGATGGTCATTACTGCTGACATTGGGTAGAGGATTATTACCCTGGGATGGTTTGTTAGTAAAGTGGGGGGGGACTGTGGATGAGTGTGGTGGGCGGGACAATGGACTTACCAAAACGCTTCTCCTAGCAGGGCGCGTGTAACGGAGCGTAGGTAGATCAGCGTTGAACGGCTTGCTTCTACCGAGAGGGCCAGACTCGAGCTGACGCCCTCCATCAACATCTCCCCCGTCCTCGCGTTCGTGTTCTCCTCCAGCATCGAGCTCCTGTTCTGCCAGGCTCTACAGCGACCAGTCGCTTGATGAATGGTGGCGACCAGATGGTGGTATTGTAGGTTGATAAGGATGGTCCGGACGCTCTCGGCGGACATGGTGTGGTCGTAGCTCTTGCCATACCCGTGCCCCTGCTTCTGTCCCTGGCCCTGCCCTTGCTCCTGCTCCTGCTCCTGCTTACGCCCAGGTACCTGAAAATAACATCCCCCACCACTCCCCTTCTGACTTCCTTCCTGCCCCTGTGCCCTCTGCAAACCCCCAGGGGGTGAAGTTCTAGGCAACGAAAGCGCAGGCCGATACCGTTCCGGCACTGATAACCGCCACCTTTCCAGTTCGTCGTCCAGCTCGCGGATGTCCCGCAACAACTCGGCGTCAGACTTGCGCAGGGCCAAGGCGGAGTACAGAAGTTTGCAGGTTTTGGATTTTATCAGGGTCAGACGGAGGTCACCTGGTAGAACGGGGACGGAGGTTTCGTCTAGTCCGGGGTAGGAGTGTCCGAGGTAGGGGTGTCTGATTCGATGTCCTTGGGCTGCTGATGTCATGGTTGTGGGAGTACCGGAGGGTTTGGAGGGGTTGGGACCGGATTGTCCTGCTCCTTGGTTGTAGGGATAGGGGGAGGGGGAGGGCATGTTGGGGTAGGAGTTTAAGGGGTAGAAGTGCCGTTCCTTGAGGGCTTCCAGCTCGCGACGATCGAGGTATTGGATTTCGATGTAGCCCGGTGGTAAGGAGAGGTCGCAGTGGTCGTCGTCTATCGAAGGGGGTTGGCCTGTTCGGAGGGATATGTCGGTGTCGACGTAGTAGCAGAGCCAGAAGAGCTTGCGGAGGTGACGGCGTTTGCGGTCTGCGATGTCCACTGGTGCTGAAGCCGGTGTTGTCGTTCCACTCCCTGAACGAGACTCAGGAGTTGGTAGCCACGAATCATTAGAGAGTTTATGTCCTCCCAGCATGAACATGATCCGGCAAGCGAACGCCAAAAGCATAGCCGACGATTGGACCTGTCCCAAAAAGAGCTGGTACAGACAGAGCATGAAAGACGTTTGTAGACTTGTGATATCCAGCGCCGGGATAGTCAGCGGCAAAAGCATCTGCGCCTTGGCAGCCATCATATCCGTGTCAATGCTCGGGATATCCGGGAACCTCTCCGTCCTCTCGGCCTCCAGTAGCGAAATGACCGACAAGAACGCAAACACGCACGCCTTGGCAGTGATCTGCTCAAAACCCAACCCATTCGTCACCCGTTCCCCATGTTCATAAGCCACATCCATTGTCTGCTTGAACAACACCGGATCAACCAGCGGAAACGATAGTCGAAACTCGGAGCTTATAAAGAAAGAAAAGTACTGCTCCACGACTTTGCGATCAGGTAGTTCGAGCTGCCCTATAGGCTTTTCTGCCACCTTGCCGAGGAAAACAGAATCGACGCTGGGCCGCGTCTGCCAAGGGGGAACGTCACCCCATATCGCTGGGAAGGAGGCGTGTTGACCGGTGCGAGAACGGATCCATGCTTGCCCGTCTTCGGAGAAGAAGGGGATGCCGTTGTAGGAGGAGATTTCTCCTAGATGGTAGCCGGCGAAGTGGAGCTTGCTGAAGTAGGAGCCGCAGCCGGGGTTGGGGACGGGGAAGTGGGAGTAGACGGGGTGTATTTGGTCGGGTTGTCGATGTGGTTGTTGTTGGAGTTGGTGTTGGTGCTGTTGGTTTTGATGTTGATATTGATGTTGTGCTTGGTGTTGATACTGGGCAGGGGTATGGTTCGTATGGTGTGTGTGGTCGGCGTGATAACTGCTACCTCCAGAACGGGAAGCTGGCCGAGGAGGGGCACCAAAGCCAGATGTTGATGTTCCCGAAGGCGTCGAGGCAGCGGACGATGAACGCGAGTGTGGGTGGTAAGGGTCCAGGTGCTGAGCATAGACCCTGTCGTCGATCGATCCAGAGAGATGATGAGTGACGATGGTGGGAGTCCCCAAGATCGGGATTCGATACTGGTCTTGACGAGATGCCGAGATGGGCGGCCAGGGGTGGCAGTGGTAGTTGTTGATGTGGTGGGAGTGGTGACGGATGCGGCTGGTGCTGGTGCTGGTACGGTTGCGGTTGAGATTGGGGTGCGTTAGGGGGAGGGGGACGGGGATCAGAGGAAGAGGGGCCGACACTACTGACGTCGACGACAGCCGATGAGGGGGAGGGGCCGGCAGAGGGGGCAGAGGGGGTTGCTGGTGAGGTTGAGTTCCTTTCATGATCCCGAGCCCACGTTTTCCGTCCGACCACACGGCGATTGAAGGTGCACGTCATGCCATGGTGATGGCACCAATTGCAGTTGGAAACGGACGAGGGCACATCGGCGCTGTCACATTGGATCTACAAATGGGATTAGCACAAGATCCCATGGAAGCACAACATTTTGATACATTAACACACCTTTCGCCGGTGACACGAATCGCATGCTCTTTTCCGCGTTTGCGTTTTTTGAGTGGAAGGCATTGCGCCTCAAGCCTAATATTAGGCCTCACAGCAGATACTCGGATCTCGGCCTTTGACACCCTGGCGACGGCTTGACAGGTTGCACGATACTCGCCGTTTGAGGTTGTTAAGCGGTGGCGCAAATGTTGTGTACTAACGGTGTGTCAGCGGGTTTAAGCTGTGGTACTGTTAGTGCCGGTAATAAATGGAATGTAACAATGTGTACATTTCACGACCACTCGGTCGGGCCAGATGGATGTATGTGATGGACCCTGAAGCGGATTGCCCGTCTTCGCAGGGTAGGGCATAAATGAAAAAAGACAAAAGGAGTTTCAGGGTCCATGATATTGGCTGACCGGTCGAGCCAGTTTGGTAGGTCCAGACCAGACAGACTTACAAAGCTCCGAAATCTTCTTAACGCCGAAAAGGTACACTAGCACATGGCGTCCAGCGGAAAATGTTAACGTCAGTCCGTGTAACTGATAACGCCTTCGCACGCGCCTCTTCCGGACTGTTAACTCTTTTTAGAAGAAAGAACAAAGGGCGACCATAGAGGTACTCATCACTCGTCAGCTATCGTCATTCTGTCCTGTTCCTTCCTTTTCTTAACTGTATTCGGCTGTCAATCTCATCGGCACTTGTCGGGTCGGGTCCGATACGTGTCAAGCAGTCGGTCTCCAGAACTGCGTGAACCCCTGGAAAATTGTTAGTGCAGTACCCGAGTTTCACCAATATGGATTTCTGTTGTCCACCAAACCAAGCAGCAAGCATACTTTCCACTCGACTAGACGGCTCAACTAAAAGGGAAACATATTCTAGATAATAACCAATGGACAAAATACATAGGATATTTCCTTCATTGAGGTGTCAGAGCCATTTGATTACCCGGTTACAAGGCGTATGTCCGTGGTTAAGATGCAGTGTGCGGGCCTTGAAGTACCCCACCAACACCTCAGCCTTTTCGTGTTGAAAGTCGGAGCGGGGCCGCCTTTTCAGCGATGCACGGGCCATCAAAGTGCCGCCGCTAACATCGATGCCAGACGCTTCAGCTTCAGAGTTCACATGAAAAGGTATTATACATGCTCAGTCATCAATCACTTCACGGCAACTACCGTCATTCACCGTTTACATCGTATATTCTCATACATAGACCGCTCTCCGGATTTTCCGGCCTGTTTGGGCTCACGCTGACCTCTAGTTACAGACACCGCAACCTCGTGCGTAGCCGGCGTTAAGTACGTATCTCCACCAGTTCGTACATTCCATCAAAAGCTTCTACGGGTCGAGAACGAGAAAAAAAAGACGACTTTGCCGCTTACTTAAGCGGAACTTTGCTGTGACGAAGCTGGGGTCTGTCCGGGACCTCGTCTCTCCAGCCAACCGGATGCCTGGAAAAGGGCCCTCCGAGGCTCCGATTCTCCTCGATCCCGCCGAACCAGGGCCAAGGGCCGTCCTTTTCTCCACTTGGTTGCAACGCCACCACGGCTTGGATCCAGAGATCGATCTTGGCACTCTCATCTCACAAATCTCTGCGTCGTCGTTGCCAGTTCATCGAGTGTTATCGGTCTGCGTTGAGGCTCCCAGTTTGCGATTGGAGGTTACTCTGAATCTGATATCGCAAGCTTTGTCGGATCCGAGCCCCCCGATCCCACGTCCACGTAAGATCTCCATGCTTTCTTCCTCATGTAGAAAGTACCGCTGACAGATGGATTTCAAAACATCAGCATGCTCCATATCCCCGGTGCCGTGCCGTGTCCCAAAAGTCGGAGCCCGTCAGCCCGATCGAGGAGAAACCTTTAACGGCACTTAAAAAGTGGATGTCCATGTCTTCTTCACCGGCAAAATGACTTAGGTAAGCGGCAGACAAGGAGCTGGTGACAAGCCGCCCCCATGGGCCCCCATGGGCACGATTGCTCCATCATTGGCCTGACTTGTCCACCATCGTGGCTCTCGCCGCCATCATCGAAGCTTGTTAGGCCGCCCTTTGTTATCAATCTCCGTCATGGATTCCAGATCCATGTAAAAGTCAAGGATGGACGCAATGGATCCAGGCACACCGTGATGCTAGCCCCCATCACAGAACTCCGTTCACCGGTCCTCCGTCCTCCCACTTTCCGAGATTCTCGTAAGCGGGCCTGAAGGAACGGCTATTCGCCGTGAGTGACTGTCCACCACACAAACGCCGAGCTCCGACTTCTTATCACACTTTATACTAGCCAAGAGAGGTGTAGAAATACGTCCTTTCCCCTCCATTTTCCTAATCCCATCTTCTCTTATTCAGTTCAACTACCCTTAATACATCAACTCAACCCATAATACCTACCCACTTCCGTCGGAACCGTATCATCACTACTTCGCTTCCTGATATCAACGACAAGTCTCACTACCAACTGTCCCACGAAGCGGCCGACCACCGACCACCGGTCACCAACCCATCCGCCATGGGCGTCCCAGGCGACAGCAACAGCAGTGTTGCCCCTACACAAGAGGAAAACGAAGTTAATAACCGCCAATGGGGTCTTCAACACAAGGTTGAGGCCCAAAAGGAGCGTGAACAAAGCTCTGGAATCCCTCCCCGCGAGCTGGGTGTTACTTGGAAAGACCTTACCGTCCAGGTCATCAGCGCCGACGCCGCCATCCAGGAAAACGTTCTTTCCCAGTTCAACATCCCCAAGAAGATCCAGGAAGGAAGGCAGAAGCCCCCCCTCAAGACCATCCTCGACAGCAGCCATGGTTGCGTCAAGCCTGGTGAGATGCTGTTGGTCTTGGGCCGTCCCGGTTCCGGATGCACCACCCTTCTCAACCTCTTGGCCAACAAGCGCGAAGGCTATGTTGCCGTCACCGGCGATGTCCACTTTGGTTCCATGGACGCCAAGGAGGCTCACAAGTATCGCGGCCAGATCGTCATGAACAACGAGGAGGAAGTCTTCTTCCCCACCCTTACCGTCGGCCAGACCATGGACTTTGCGACCCGCCTCAACATCCCTTACAAGATCCCCGATGGCGCTGCCTCCCCCGAAGAGTACCGCAAGGAGAACATGGACTTCCTTCTCGAGGCCATGGGCATCACCCATACCCAGGACACCAAGGTCGGTAACGAGTACGTTCGCGGTGTCTCTGGTGGTGAACGCAAGCGTGTTTCCATCATTGAGTGCCTGGCGTCTCGTGGATCCGTCTTTTGCTGGGATAACTCCACCCGTGGTTTGGATGCTAGCACGTAGGTACCCCCTAGTGTATTCCTCACTCGCTAGGATCAGACTAACACACCTTAGTGCTCTTGAGTGGGCCAAGTCCCTCCGCGCCATGACCGATGTCATGGGTCTCTCCACCATCGTTACCCTCTACCAGGCCAGTAACGGTATCTACGATCTCTTCGACAAGGTCCTCGTTCTCGATTACGGCAAGGAGGTTTACTACGGTCCCATGAAGGACGCTCGTCCCTTCATCGAGTCTCTCGGCTTCGAGTGCCAGGAGGGTGCCAACGTTGCCGACTACCTCACCGGTATCACCGTTCCCACCGAGAGAGTGGTTCGCTCTGGCTTCGAAAAGACCTTCCCTCGCAACGCCGATCAACTCAGAGATGCCTACCAAAAGTCTGAGATCTATCCTCGCATGGCCGCCGAGTACAACTATCCCACCACCGAGGAGGCCAGGGAGAGGACCAGGCAGTTTGAGGAAGGTGTCGCCGTCGAGAAGAACAAGCACCTCGGAAAGAACAGCCCTTACACTGTCAGCTTCTTCGAGCAGGTCAAGGCCTGTATCACTCGCCAGTATCAGATTGTCCTTGGTGACAAGCCAACCTTGATCATCAAGCAGGCTTCGACCTTGGCCCAGGCCCTCATCGCCGGTTCTCTTTTCTACAATGCCCCCGACAACTCTGGTGGTCTCTTCGTCAAGTCCGGTGCCCTCTTCTTCTCTCTTCTCCACAACAGTTTGATATCCATGTCCGAAGTCACGGACTCTTTCTCTGGTCGTCCCGTTCTGCTCAAGCAAAAGGGTATGGGTTTCTTCCACCCTGCCGCCTTCTGCATTGCCCAGGTTGCTGCCGATATCCCCGTCATCCTCCTGCAGGTTTCTGTGTGGTCTATTGTCTTGTACTTCATGGTTGGCCTGTCCATGAACGCCGGTGCTTGGTTTACCTACTGGATCATTCTCATCGCTGCCACCATGTGCATGACAGCCTTCTTCAGAGCTATCGGTGCTGCCTTCAGGACCTTCGATGCCGCTTCCAAGGTTTCCGGTTTCATGATCTCGGCTCTCATCATGTACAACGGTTACATGATTCAGAAGCCCAAGATGCACCCCTGGTTCGGCTGGATCTACTGGATCAACCCCATGGCTTACTCTTTCGATGCTCTCTTGTCCAACGAGTTCCACGGCAACACCATTCCCTGTGTCGGTATCAACCTGGTCCCCAACGGCCCCGGCTACAATGATCTCGAGCACCAGTCCTGCGCTGGTGTCGGCGGCGCCATCCAGGGCGACAACGTCGTCTACGGTGACAACTACCTCAAGTCTCTTTCCTACGCCCACTCTCACGTTTGGAGAAACTTCGGTATCATCTGGGCCTGGTGGGCTCTCTTTGTCGCCATCACCATTGTTGCGACCACCAAGTGGCGTCCCCTTTCCGAAGGCGGTCCTTCCCTGCTCATCCCCCGTGAGAAGGCCAAGATCGTCAAGGCCATCCAGAACACGGACGAGGAGAAGGCTGGTGCTAGCAGCAGCGGCGAGGAGACCGTCTACGACAAGGAGGCCAGCGCTGGCGAGGCTAAGGACTCCGACAAGGACTTGGTTCGCAACACCTCGGTCTTCACCTGGAAGAACCTCACCTACACCGTCAAGACTCCCTCTGGTGACCGCGTTCTCTTGGATAACGTTCAAGGTTGGGTTAAGCCTGGTATGTTGGGAGCCTTGATGGGTTCTTCGGGTGCCGGAAAGACCACTCTTCTCGATGTTTTGGCCCAGCGCAAGACCGACGGTACCATCAAGGGTTCCATCATGGTTGACGGTCGTCCTCTCCCCGTCTCCTTCCAACGTTCTGCCGGTTACTGCGAGCAGCTTGATGTTCACGAGCCTTTCTCCACCGTCCGTGAGGCCCTTGAGTTCTCTGCCCTCCTTCGTCAGCCCCGTGAGGTTCCCCGTGAGGAGAAGCTCAAGTACGTCGACACTATCATTGATCTCCTGGAGCTCCACGATCTCGCCGATACCCTCATCGGTCGCGTTGGTGCTGGTCTCTCTGTCGAACAGCGCAAGCGTGTCACCATTGGTGTCGAGTTGGTTTCCAAGCCCAGCATTCTCATCTTCCTCGACGAGCCCACTTCCGGTCTCGATGGTCAGTCCGCCTACAACACCGTTCGTTTCCTCCGCAAGCTCGCCGATGTTGGCCAGGCTGTTCTCGTCACCATCCACCAGCCTTCCCAGCAGCTCTTCGCCCAGTTCGACACCCTCTTGCTTCTTTCCAAGGGCGGCAAGACCGTTTACTTCGGCGAGATTGGTGACAACGCCCAGACTATCAAGGACTACTTCGGCAAGTACGGCGCCCCCTGCCCCGAGGAGACCAACCCGGCCGAGCACATGATCGACGTCGTCTCCGGTTCTCTCTCCAAGGGCAAAAACTGGAACCAAGTCTGGCTCGAGTCGCCCGAGCACCAGGCCATGACCGAGGAACTCGACCGCATCATCGACGACGCCGCCTCCAAGCCGCCCGGCACCCAGGACGACGGACACGAGTTCGCCACGCCTATCTGGGAACAGATCAAGACGGTCACCCACCGCAACAACGTCGCCCTCTTCCGCAACATCGACTACATCAACAACAAGTTCGCGCTGCACGTCGGCTCGGCCCTCTTCAACGGCTTCTCCTTCTGGATGATCGGCGACCGCGTCTCGGACCTCCAAATGCGCTTGTTCACCGTCTTCAACTTCATCTTCGTCGCTCCCGGCGTCATCGCCCAGCTCCAACCTCTCTTCATCGAGCGCCGCAACATCTTCGAAGCCCGCGAGAAGAAATCCAAAATGTACAGCTGGATCGCCTTCGTCACGGGCCTCATCGTCTCCGAGATTCCCTACCTCTGCGTCTGCGCCGTTTTGTATTTTGCCTGCTGGTACTACACCACCGGTGCTCCCCACGCCTCCACCCGCGCCGGCGGCACCTTTTTTGTCATGCTCATGTACGAGTTCGTCTACACCGGTATCGGCCAATTCATCGCCGCGTACGCGCCCAATGCCATCTTCGCTTCTCTGGCCAACCCCTTCGTCATCGGTCTGCTCGTCTCCTTCTGCGGTGTCTTGGTTCCTTACCAGCAAATCCAGGTCTTCTGGCGCTACTGGATCTACTACTGCAACCCGTTCAACTACCTCATGGGCTCCATGCTGGTGTTTAATCTGTGGGACAAGAAGATTGAGTGCCATGCGGAGGAGTTTGCCGTGTTTAACCCCCCCAACGGCACGACTTGTGGCCAGTATTTGACCGATTACATGATGGGGATGGGACGCGCCACGAACCTGATTAACCCTGAGGCTACGGAGGGGTGCAGGGTTTGTGAGTATACGTCTGGCAGTGACTACCTGCAGACGATCAATCTCAAGACGTATGGGCATGGGTGGAGGGATGCGGGGATTGTGGTTGTTTTTGTGGCGAGCAGTTATGCGATGGTTTATGCGTTGATGAAGTTGAGGACGAAGCAGTCGAAGAAGGCTGACTAAGAGGTTGTTGGCAGCAGCTGTTCTTGGTGTGTTGGGAGAGATGGGGAGAGAAGTGTGTGTGTGGTGATGGAAAGGGGAGGAAGCGAGCGAGCGTTTGTGCTTGTGGTTGTTGCATGCTTACTACAAGCGTGCGTGCGTTGAACGAAGGTCATCGGTTAAGATACCCACGGTAGTTAATGATGTACGTACGGATGGGGATGATGTTTTTTGGGAAGAGACATGACGGAATGTGGGGAGGGATAAAAGGAGCATTTGCTTTTATTGAACACTTGCATCACAGCATCATATAGATAGACACTTTCTTGGATAGATATTTCTTAGTTGTAATAAGCATTGGATACAATTTTCGCTTCATTTCGGTCCTTTCTTTGTACAAGTCAATATTGGTTTGTAAACTTTTCTTGTAGTTCTTCGGCCATGGCTTGAACAGGGGAGATCTGGAGCTCTTAGTCTTTTTCGAGAAAACATAGCTTCCCTTCGAAGCGGCATGGGGCAATGGCAAGGGCTCAACACGCCAAACAAGCCTTTTATACCTACCTCTCTCCGTCTTCTCCAAGGCCCTTCCTTACCAAGGCCCTCAGGACTGGAAGATGTCAGTCTAGAGCACCCATCCGCTGGGAAGCCCGAAACCCTTTCGACTTTCAGTGAAAATGTGCGTTTTTTGCCTGGTACCAAGCTGACAAACAAGCCAGGGCTGGATTGTGGCATGGCTTTGGGTTGTTTGGCCATTGACGACGCCAAGGAAGAGGCAGACCGCAGCAGCACGGCAAACTAGAGGTAGACTCAGGTTGACAACAAAGTCACCAGCACACCTATCCTGGCACCGGCCAACGTCCAACCCGACCGCATACAAAGGTCACTTCATGACGGAAAGAACCTACCTACCGTACGGATACATTAGGTACAGTGTCTATGACAAGTTCCAAGAGAGGGGTAGGTACCTTTATGGATGGGGGTGTGTAGTACCTAGCTGGAGCAATTTCGCCGAAGACACGGCCCGTGCCCACTCCCGTCCAGCCTCCTGACCTCCTCTGCCTCGGAACCGAAGAAAGAAGGCACGTCTTGCTACGCGTCAGGGCTAGAAACCCCCCCTCCAGGTTCCCCTCCCTCCCCCATCACCTGACCTGGGGAGTAGAGGGATATTTTTCAGGCTGCCGTGCCCTCCTCCCGTTTCCTTCTTCCGCCACTTCGTCCTCTCTTGGCCATTTTCTCCGTCACTTCTTCTTCTCCCCAAACACAAAAAAAATGGAGGTGCCTCCTCCATCTGGGAGCTTGCTCCTCACGAGTACTGTAAGTTTCCTTCTCTTGCCCTTCTCCTCGTCGTCCAGCCGTCAAGACGAGGTGACAACAAACTGACACTGCCCGCCCGCCCTCTACCAGGCTGGGATTAGGTACCTAGGAGGCACCTCCACCTCGTCGTCGCTAGCCTGCCTGGCCGTACCCCTCAAGTTCAATCTGAGGCCATCGTCAACGCCGTCCCCTTCCGACCGGCACATAGTAGTCGGGAGGTCGAGGGCGCCAGCGGCCACGTTGTTGAGTCAGGCTACGTTGTCGAGTCTCGTTTCCATGGTCCTATGAGTGTCGCCAGAGTGCCAGCCGGCTTTGATGCCAACGAGTAGAGGTAAGTACCTACACCTGTGGTAGTGGTGGCAGCTAGCAATCGCTCCAGTAATCGGCACCGTTCGCTAATCGTCTCGATGACTCCAGTACCTACCCCTCTCTACAACTCTGCTGTTCATCTCGACAGCTTCAGCTCTCGTCTTGCCTTCAGCGCCATCTCAGGTCCAGATCAAACGGTTCAAAAGCACGCCAACAACTCCGCTAGGTGAGTCAAGCCAAACACCTCAAGGCCGATAAGTTCCTTCCATCCTGAGTCTGACTGGAGCCTGAAGCCTCCTCTCGTGGGACCGCCAAAGCCATCTTGAACAGCAACTTCTCTCGTGTGTGGTGGCATTCGAGATGTCCCAGCCCTTCTCGGCGGTCTGTACTGGAACACGAACTCGAAGAATTCCAGGTGAGAAAATAACCCACATCCTTTCATTTGACCGTCATGACGGGCTAGCATTCTCCAAACCAACATCAGTCTCAATGAAACATACGCTGACTTCCTGTTACCTCTAGACGTCGAGAAAAGCCCACCACCTGCTCAGATACCCGTCACTGGTCTCTTCCTGTACACCATACCTACTTACCCAAAACCCAGATATCCCAACAGCACCACGCAAGCAACCTTTTATCTCGACACTTCCCCCCTTTGACAATCTTCTCTCCTCACGCTCACTTCCCTCTGGGAGCTGGCGGAAGTACTCTACCGGAATACTGCCGCGGCCATGGCCAAGGCTACGGGCCACATTATGCTCGATAGCGAAGAGAAGGACGATACTCCAGAGGAGAATAGGTGTCCTCTGGGGTGTCGTCGGTGGAAGGCGCTCAAGAAGTACATCTATGAGTGGGCGAGGCAGCATCTCGATTTGGACGCCACCAGTACGCGTTCCCCAGAAAGCGAATAGAAACCCTACGAAGGCAAAAGCACACAGCGCACACTTGTAGTTCTCTACTCGGGTGTTCTGCCCCAGCTTGTTGGTGTCGCCCCCGAGAAGGCCATCAAGCTGACGGCACACCTTTACCACCTTTCGAGGATGCACGATCAATCACGTACGAGAGACGCTGACGCCGTTCGTCGGCCCTGAACTTCATTACTACACCCCCCGCCACGACGGCGTGAAGGCGCTACGGTAGCGCGCGGGGGTAAAGCCCTCGAGGAGCAGGTTCGACTCCTGCATCAGCACAGCTTGGTCTCCAGGTGCCTGTCCAGCAGGCCGCTCAGTTTGTGGTCAGTCCGACTTATTCTCCGTACATACCACAGTGTCTGGACAGCCGAGCCTCGCCTTGACCCTGTCACTGGTCTCTCCACGAGCATCGGGCGACAAACGTTTCGGTCTTGAGGGTTGTGAGACCCTTGTTCCCGGTATGAAGGCCCTCATCGACCTCGCCTCGGTTATTTGCGAGATGGATCCTGACCTGAGGCTCACCTCGCGCCCCGCCAAGCGAGAGGTTGGACGTCTCCTTGTCGACATTGGTGACACTTGCACGTGCATCGTGCGCAACAACCCCGCCATGCGCAACCCCATGGACTTCATGGTCCTTCTCACCGTTTTTACCCTCGTGCTCGTGGCTCTCGGTCGGATCCTCGGTGTTCCTGCCACAGCAGCCAGCCAGTCCACCAGTCCACCATCAGTTCGGTTGTCCTCGACCTATTGGGCAGCAGCAGTCCACCGATTATTGGTGAATCTCACATGCCACTGATACGGTCTGAGTCACCTCTACCTGTCATTGGTGAATCTCTTCTCTTTTCCCTCCTCTTCTCTCGACAGGCAACCATCACTGCTCATCTTTCACACCTCCAGAGATCCCCTTTGATCTCTGCCGTCAAGTCGCCATCGGAAACGTCGCCTTGGGTCCTCTTTTCACTCGCGCCATTGGCCTCGCCCCCGCCTCTCGGAACATTGCCTACACCGCTCGTAGCGTCACCATCGCGATGGGCGCCAGCTTCGTATCCGTTCCATCTACGAGAGCAAGCGAGGAGCTCCAACGCTGGATTTTCGGCCTGTGCCTTCAGCGCTGATAGTGCCTATCTGGTAACATCAGACCACTCTCAAATCTTCACCCACTCTCACAAATAACCACATCTCCTCCAACCATGGCTACCCAGTGGATGTGCTGCCAGTGCAAGAGCACTGGGCGTACCGGCGACCACTGCGACCGCGTGCTTCAGCAGGCTAGCGCCAGCTCCGTATCCGCTCCATTTACGAGTCCAAGCTCATCGAGTTCGACAATGAACGTCACCTCGGTGTCTTCTGGGTTTCTTGCGAGGCGGGTACCTATATCAGAACCCTTTGCGTCGACCTTAGCCTAGGCGTTCAAGGCGGCGGCGGCGGAAGAGACAGAAGGCCAGAAGACCGATCAGCAAGAGACCAAAGATTGTGGCGCCAACTACGCCGCCGATGGCTGCTGCCTTTGAGCTACCGGTGCCAGCTTTGGACGCCGCGGAGCCAGTTCATCGAGTTCGACAATGACCGTCACCTCGGTGTCTTCTGGGTTTCTTGCGAGGCCGGTACCTATATCAGGACCCTCTGCGTCCACCTTGGACTCCTCCAGCCTCGGTGTCGGCGCCCACATGCAGGAGCTCCGCCGTGTCCGCTCCGGTATCATGTCCGAGGATGTCCCGTTTCCAAGCGCCGCCGAGTACACGTACGAAGCCAGCCGTCGCAGGATATGGAGAAGAAAATGCATATGGCTCTCTTTGGAGCCGGCGGGTAGATAGGTACATCTAGACGTAAATCCATTAACCTACCACATATTCTCTGTGATTCTTTGACCCTTCTTGAATCGTTTCTTTGACATTAAGATGTGCTATGTACCCCTAGGCCCAAGACGTGTTGGTCTGCCCTTTCTCTTCGTATGTCTTCGTGTGGGTGTCCTGTTGTTTGCTCCCTGAAAATAGGATGAGTGTGCCTCTATGCTGTGGTTGCTGTTGGCGATGTATGCCGGATGAAATGTGTGGCACACTCCAGATGAAATACATGTAGAAGCCTCTTTGCCGTATGCGAGGCGTGTAGAAGTAACACTTTTGGATCTCGATGCGTTTGGTCTTCACATCTATGCTCCAAACTTCCGTTAGACTGGAGGGGCAGCTGCTTCCCGTTTTTTGTCCCCACGTTTGCGGGCTACTTATCCGATCTCGTGGCCACCCGATATGATCCCCTGAGAACAACAAACGTCTGTCGGATGGATCCTGACCCCGTTCAACATCGAGACAAGAACTTCCCAGGTTGTTGTTTGCAAGGCTTGCGCTCGTCTGCATCGTATGAATGAGGGCCTCCGGCGGACTTTTGTTGGTCGAGAACGATTAGGAAGTGGACGCCATCTTCGTCGGGGAGGCGTTCTGTGTGGGATACCTGTATGCAGCACAGCACTCGCCATGGCCTTTGAGGCCGAGGTTTCCCACTTGGAATGATGTGATTTCGGGGCGGACACTCTTTGCTTTCAATGGGTTTAAATTTTTCTGGTAGAGGTAGTTGGGGGCATGTTTGATGTTTCCAAGGGGAATGGGGAGATAGAAAGGCGGATACAACTTACAAGTTTCTTTGCACGATACAAGCGAAAGGGAGTACACACACTTTGGGTATTGGACTCACAAAGGTTCTTTAGAATTTCTTTAAGCGGAAAACACGTTCTCTTCAGTTAGCGCAGAGTCACTTGAAAATTAACCTGAATCAAGCTAGAACTTTTGTTTATTTCAACCTTTCCCATAATTCACCGTCTTCATTCTTCCTTTTGTGCAGTCATGGGTATCATTATCATCCAATGCTGTCCCGTTATAACCAGCATCTTCCTCCCTCCATTTAACACCATCAAACCACAACTACCTCAATGAACAAACCTAAAATCCAACCTCTTCGGCCCCTCATCCTTAGTAGTCAAAACATACTCCTGCTGCTCCTCCGGCGTCATGGCATTCCACTGCTCATCCTTCAACTTATTCCTCCACACATAAAACGCCTTGGTCAGAAGAAACAGCACGATATTCAAGCAAACAATCGCCAGCAACACCTTGTTACCCCTCCTATACAACGGCATGTCGTCCTCGCGGTAAATGTTATCGTAAATGATATTGCCAGCCTGCACAAACATGTTGTACAACGCCGTGGACACCGCTCTCGTCTGCACGCTGTTGCTGTTCTGGGCATTCCAAGCCACCAGGATGGCGTGGCAGTAAGGGTACGACAAGACACCGGTGAGGAGGGCGTAGCGGACCCAGACGCCGGCGTTGGGCAGGGCGACGATGGCGGCGAAGAAGGGAAGCATCCACCACTGCGAGATGGAGGCGATGAAGCCACGCTCATTGAAACGCTTGGAGAAGTAAGAGAGAATAACCAAGTTGCAGGCAAACAGGAAGTAGGCGGGAATGGTGAGCAGGTTGGCCTGAAAAACGCTGAAGCCGTGGGTGCGTAGGATCAGACTCAGGTAGTTACCGGGAGGACCGGGAGGGATGTAAGCGCACACGCCGACGATGTAGAGCGGCCACATCTCCCATTCCTTGATGGCTTTGAGCAGACCCTTGGCCGAGACACCCTCGCGGTTGTTCATGTCGCCCTTGGAGGGATCATCGCGCAGCAGGCGGTTGACCATGATGTATTCCTCGCGTTCGGAGAACCACCCGTTCCTTCCGCGGAACCAGGACTTGGTCTGGCAAGGGCCCGGGGGCATCAGAACGAACGCGAAGAGCCCGACGACGAGAGAGATCAGGGCCTCGATCAGGAACAGCCACTGCCAACCACTCCAGCCTCTGATTCCCCGCATCTGCAAGATACCAGCGGCCATTAGAGAACCGACAATGTTGACAGTTGACAGAGCAGTCCAGAAGAAAGCCAAGCGGAGAGGCAGTTCGTTGGACTTGTAGAAGTACGTCAAATAAAGGACAATGTCGGGGATGAAGCCACCCATGGCAACGCCCATAAGCGCCTTGATGACGTAGAAGTGGGCTCTGTTCTTGATCCAGACTTGAGCGCCTGACAAGATGGACCAAGACACGATTTGCATGGGAATGAAGCGATCAGCGCCGAGCTTCTTGGCTACGAGGCCGGAGGGAAGCTCAGCGAGCAGGAAGGTAGCAAGGAAGATGGTTTGACCATAGTTGAAGTCGTTTGTGTTCATTCCTGGGTCGCGTCAGTATCCGGTGAAGATACAAGGAAGGGCAGAATCATGAAGGACATACCCAGCTCCGGCAACATATCATCGCTGATAGCTCGGTTGATGTTCTTCCGATGTAAGTCCAAGCTGCAGAACATGATCCAAGCCCAGAGCATGATCCTAAAGTCGATCTTGCGCACAAGCTTGCGCTCTTCCGAGGCGCCCCATTGGAACGATGGGTCAAATCGGTGGCGGTTCTCGTACCCGGCGCCCTCATAGACTTCAGTCCAGTGCGCAGCGATTGCAGGGTCACTGAAGACATGATCAGGGGTCGAACCGTAGTTGGCGTCTTTCGTGCCGCCGAGTTCTTCTGCGAGTGAGACCTGGGATACAGAGGCGGAACGGGCCGGTGATGAAACACGCGTGACGTCTTTCAGGGATCCCGAGGAAGGTGTGTCGATGGCAGAGACCACCTTCTTTTCGTCTTGGAAGTCTGCCATGGCTGCGGCACGGCCCGGGAGGCTTCTAGCGATCGATCAGCCTGGATGAGGGTGGCAGTTTGTCGAGATTGGCGTCGACAAAGGCGCACGGGACGAGACTTGGATACGGCTTGGTCTGGTGTTCAATAGTATCTCCGCGGAAGTCCAAGACATGGCGACATCAACATCGTACCGTGACGCGAGTTATAAGGAAATCTGTTGGATGGCCGCCGTGGCTGGTAGCAAAAGGATTTGGCAGCAACTCGGAACATTTTATGTTGACAACTGAGTATGATCTTGCGTCATGTCGATCTATCGCGTAAGTTCAGGGGCTGTTGGTCCTGCGTTGGGAATGGTCGACGTGTGTCGACTGATGGCGCCATCATGGACGAGTATTGCTCCGCGGACGTGATGGACGGATTGGGCGTCTGTTATAGAAAAGGTCAGCACTTAAACATTGGGTATGGATCTATCCACTAGTGATATCTCGAAAGGTGCTGGCATAATTGGAGGGTTGACATACCTGATAGGCGGACATTATTCCAGATTTCCAGGCAAGCCAGGGCAGTCATTGCGTAATGCCGAAGACTGATAAACGGAAAACTTATCGAACAAGTTGTTTTGCCCATTGGGTGATTGGTGTTAGGCAGTTGTGTTTGGGTGGTTGACGGTAGGTTGTCGGCGATAGGGCGGAGCGTCGTGCTGGAGTGATGACGTGCTTCGCGTGCGAGATGGTGCTGTCGCCAAAACGCAACAACGGCTCACGAGGATGCAGGAACCAAAGACGAATTGCGCTAGTAAGCTCCACCGAATTCAAGACTAGCACAGCGACGGTGCCAAGTGTCGTGGAGAACAAGTGGAAGATCTAGATGTCGTGATTCTTGGTGTTGTTGCGAATCGTGGACGCTGTAGATGGTTCTGAGAGGTGCGCAATTGGCTGGGAGGTTGGACTCCTTTCTGGGCTTCGTCATGGAAGCAAACTATGCCTTAACAATTTCCAGTGGGCGTCGCTCTTTCCAAGAGTGGAATCGGATCCAAGCTGTTATGCCAGACATCAGAAAGACGACAGACGTTCCTTCCTTTCATGCCTAGCAGGTATACAGAGGAGGTCAGTTGCCGGTTCAGTTCGGGAAGGGCAACCCACGCCAGGAAAACCCTGGTGCTTCATCGACCAGCTGGCCCATTAACATCGACAACGACGACAAGGAACCCAAGGGAAAAACGGCAGAGCCATGTACATGTCGATTACGATCATCATTGCAGGCTGGATTGACAGCTTCTGGACACCATCTCCTGCAGTTGATCATGTCTTGCCATGTGCACAGGCTCACCGATGTAACCATGCTCTTCCATGACGATGGATAAGGCCGGGCCGCGCGCATTGATGGGTTGATCTACTTGCCATTGCCGAAATAAGTGACCTAGGGAAATGCAGGGAAGGACAGACAGCAGGAAAAGAGCCGCAAACTACTCCGTGGTAGGAGGAGCCCAACCGGCTTACCTCTGTAGACTAGAATGTGCTCCAGTTGCTTTCAAACCGGCCAACTGCCAGTGTTGGCCGCTGTTGACAAAGGCGAATCCTTCCAGAAGTACGGACATGCATCCGAGGTTTGGTGCAGCTCGGATATATTGCCCCGTATCAGCATCGTGTTGGCAGTATTCCCAATTCCTGCAAGTTGTATTTCATTCCTTCGATCCTCCAGGACACTTCTTGATACCGGCATTAACTTCCGGTACACTTACCAAAACTTGGTCAGCAGCTTGGGCCAGGCTCTATTGAACCACCTCAGATTCAAGCAAACACCAGACTCGAACGCCTCCAGCCGTTCAACAACACCAGTCAGACAAGTACTATCATATTTGAACCCAAAACATTCTTCCATACAGCCTCGAGACGCAGCAACGATGTGTTGGACGATCAGACATTATGAAGGTGAGCTCTCCCGAAAAACAATAACCCAAGGGAGGCGAACTACGCTGACAATAGCCCCCAGGGCGATGACGGATTATGCAAGGGACCTGGGGCAGAAAACCGATAGACAAAGAGGAGGAAGGATAGGAGGAAAAGGTAGAATGAAGGCCGGGGGGTGTTAGCCCATATCAGAGAGATGCCCAAGCGTCTTTCATGTTGGCTACTCAACTGCCAGTCTTCAATCTCCTACCAAGTTGTGAGCTTTGTGTTTTGACTAAGGTAAGAAACATTTGTGAACGAGAGTAGGTAAGCACTCCATCAAAAAGTGCCCCATGGTCGAACAACACAGCCTCAACTCCAGACTTCCTCGCCGCATGGCAGATGTGATAATGTCGTCCCTTCCACGCTTCACCTGGCACGTCTCCCAGGGACTATAAATGATATATCCTCCGGGTGTATAACCCGAAAGACCGGAGCCGCGGTACCTGTCCTGCCTTGTGTACGCGAGCGACCCTTACATCACTCGAGCAGGGATGACAGGGATGAGCTTCATGGAGTGAGTGAGGCAGTGAGGTTGACCACGAGCCCCGCCAGAACCCCCCAAAAATGCCGATAAACCCCAACGGAGAGGGTCGAAGACGGTCGGAGACGGTCGGAGACGTAAAGCTTCCGGTCAAGTGATATCGAAGGATCATCAGAGACTAAGCCAGAGAATGTTCGATGGATGTTCCCTCCCGTGAGAAGACACCGGACGATTTGGACTGAAAAGCGATAATCAACTCCGCGCCATGGCGTTCATCATGTCAGAAAAGAGGGACGCCATGGGCATCTCATTGTTGATTTGGGGAATTGCAGTCGTACCTTGCATGGGTTTTGGGGGTATAAGAAAAGGCCGCGGAGATGCTCTTCTCTTCAGGAGATGTTGTGAGGGGTAGGTAGGTAGAAGATCTGTAAAATGACTTTGGTTCAAGATAACCACCACCATCACAGTCTTCTCACGATGACTTTCTCGGCGGTCTTACTGGCGCTTGCCGCCGCGTTTTAGTCAACGGGGCTGGCATTGCCTGCTCCGCAGTGAGATCCTCTCCCTCCCTCCTAGTCATCGTCGAATGCCAGCAAAACCTGACAATGTCGGTTCACAGAATGGTCTACGGCGAGAACTCCGGACCCGTCGCCGGAGTATCTCCAATCCCAACCACAACCGGCCGAACCCGAACCGGCTCTCTCCGTGGCGGCACCAACTTGCTGGGAGCCAACTCACCCCAACCCGACCTCGACACAGCAAACCCGGCCATCGTACCGAACCCACAGTCTGTCAATGGACAGGATGCTAATGCTGATTTGGGGCTGTATCTCGATTTTAACAGTGCTAACCCACCGCAGCCTAATAGGGGAGGGAGAGGGGGTACTGATCCGGGGCCGAATAAGTAGGGAGCTTTCCATACATCCTCGTCCTTTCAAGGAGGAAAAAGGCAGAGAGAGAGGGCTGACAATTGGTTGGACAAAAAACAGGAACCATACGACTACGAAAAAGTCAACCCCGACCTCTAGGGTACGCGCCCCCAGGCACCGACTCCGGCAGCACGCCGCAATTCATGTTCTACAATAGGGCCCTGCTAGACGGGCACTAATCCTTTGGCTCGCCGGGCACTAATACCCCTGGGGGTTAGGGTTCTCTGTAGTTAGAATCTGGGTTATGTAATTTCGTAATACCGCTCATAGTATTAATAATCGTAAAAATATAGGTCATACCCGCCAACCGCCCAACCCAACCGCCCAAATCCAACCGTACCCACACTCAACCGCACGTACTAAATATATAAACTTAGTAATTTTTTACCCTTTAACTACCTCTATCACTAAATATCAACGAAATTAATCGCCTATAAAATCAATCAAACTAGAAAAACCGCGCGCACAATCAATATTATAAACTAAGCATCTATAACAATCGAAATTTCGTCTAACGAATTAAACAATAACGATAACGATAATAACGACTTCCCTAACCTTCAAAATCTCCCTCCCAAACCTATATATACTCGCCTACCCTCCAATAAAGCCTCCGAATCTCTCTAAACTTCTACCAACTCTCCCTAGGCTTCTACCAAATCTTCCCAAACTCCTACTCCCAAGCGCCCTCGATTTAGCGATAACGATAAGTAATATAGATAATAAGAGGAAAGATAAGTTTATAAATTCGAGAATCCCCCTAATAGTATTATAAAGGGTTGTAAAATTATTTAAGAATATTAAAATAAAATTAATAAATTTACTAATTTCTACGGTTAGGTAATTATCTATTGCAATAGGAAGAATAAAATCGATAGCAAATATATTCGATACGAATTATTCTATAATCGATATAGTAAACCGCGGCTATTTAAATTAAGTAGTTTATATAAAACTACTAACCGTAAATACGATTATAAATAGCGTATTTTTATGAAGAAGAGTAAAGCCAATAGTTAAATATTTCGAATAAGTAGAAATAAAAATTACTAAGCTTATAATTACTTACTTTTTTACCTTACCGCCTATCTCTAAATCCGTAAAATAAAGTTTACGAACGAAGTATGCGAAATTATCGAAATTACTTCCAGCTATAACGTTATTAAAGTTAGAGAAATTAATATTATAATTAATAAGTAATTCCTAAATATATTCTTTACGAAGAAGGATATATATGATATAACGGTTCGATTACGTATAGAACTTCTCGATAGATATAAATTAATTACCGACTTTATTTAAAATTTTAATAAAAATAAAGTTCTATATTAAATTATTCATAATAAAGTATAAAGAATATTTTCTTCTTTTTATTAATTATCTAATTAATTTTGTTAAAAAATAAACGTCTAATTACTTTTATATAGGGATTAGGTATTATAATATAAATAATAAAACGCTACTTAAAGGTTATAAATATAAATAATACGTATTTAATTAACCGTTATCGGTTCCCTCTTATATCAATTACTAATATAATTAACGTAAGTACAATATTTAACTCTTTCTTTAACTTTATGAATAATAAAAGAAAAAAAGCCTTTATTTTCTTATTATAAGGTATTTAAAATTTACGCCAACACTATAAAATCCCTAAACCTAATATTATCCTTATTAATTATAGTAAAGAAATGAAGTCAATTATATTAAAAGTATTCTTTAAAGTCTAATAATAACTCTATATCTTTTATATTTATAAGAACGTACTATCCAATAGTAAAAAAAAGTAAAGGGGAAAAAAATAAAAATAATTCTAACGATAAAGAATTCTTATTAAATAAAGAAGAGGGAGAAGATATTAACCTTAATATAGTAAATTAAGCGAAGTTACGTACTACCCGTTCAAAGGCTATTCGGATTATAAGTAATTATTAAAATAATAATAATCCTGCCGATATTAAGAAGGCTATCTCCTATACCCTAATAAGTATATTTAAAATATAGAAAGTTATTATATATTTAAAGACTAAAGTAAAGTTCTAAGATATTTAGTAAATACTCAAAAAGGAATTCTCAAATTAACTTTTAATTTTATATTACCTCCAAAAGGTCTAAATACCTATTAAATAATAATAGGCACGCTATTTTATTAGTAAATATCTTAACTATAATATTATTGTTACTTCTCCTATTGAATTAATTAATATAAGTATTAAAAATTTTATCCTTATAGGCCGCTTAGACTTCTATAGTTTAATTACCGCTATTTAAGAAATGATTACTGAATAAGAAAAGGTTTAGGAGTATAAAGTAGTTAACAAAGAAATTAGAATCAAAAATAGCTTTATAGGCCGATTATAAATAGGAATTATAGTAGTAAAAGTTTCTTATAAATACTTAGACCTTCTTATTTACAAATATTATTATACCCAAATTGCCTTCAATCGAAAGAAGAAAAATCCCAATAAAGATATCTACTACTTTAATAACGATAATTGTAATACTATTTAATAATACGGTATCCCTTACCATTATAATATTTATAACCTTATTAATAACGATCTACCGCTCCGTTTTAGCTATATTTATAAATATTAGCACCTTTAAAAGTTCTTCGATAACGATAACCTATATATTTATATTCTAAAGCCTAAAGTTACTAAGTGACTTCGAAGCCGCCTTAAAGTAAATATTATAATTACTATACTAATAGAGTACGGCGTCCCCCTTACTCCTAAGAAGGCTAAAAAGATAAAAAGAAATAAAGAAAGAAATTAAAAAAAAGGTATAAAGAAAAATAAATAAAAGGGTAAACAGAAAAAAAAAGCAACAAAGACCAAAAAAGCCAAGAAACTACCTCTATTTAAAGGTAATACCCTATAGTTAAAGTAAAGTATACGCTGCCACCTCTCTAAATAGAAGCTAAACGAAGAGGATGAAGAGGATTCTAATAACGAGGAACTCCCTATATATAATTAACGTACTACAATACATTCTTTTATAACAAAGAGTGCCAAAAATGAATTAAATAGCCAATTTTTAAATTCAACCAACCCTTTAGCATTTAGAAATAATAACGAGGAGGAGGCAATTAATAAGGACAAAAAGGAGGATAAAGGAAGAGAATTAAACGATCTATTTACTTCCTCCAATAAAAACGAACCACCCGCCCGCAAAAAGGCCACTACAACACATTCATTTACCCCGGAACCAACCCGGACTCTAAAGAGGACAAGGAATAATAGAATCTCTAAACCAACTACTAGAGTACTAAGTCTATAAGTAGGCTCAAAAACGATAATTCTAACAATTTATTTATTATTATATATATAAATGCCCCAAAGTACTCCAAACCTCTAATACACTCCAAACCTCTAATAGACTCGAACAACCGCCAGCGCATCTCAACACTATAGCGCATTATCTATAAATACTATTCACAATAATCTAAAATTAATATACATTAATTTATATAGAAATTTCTATAGAATACAATATCTTAATTAAATCTATAATCTTTATTAAATAGCGATAATAATATTAGTAATATATCAAAAGGAGGGAGGCACGTACGTACGGCTAAGTCTAGGCGGCTAAGTCTAAGCGGCTGGGTCTGGGCGGCTAAATCTAGGCGGGCTGGGCGGCTGGCGGGCACGACCCGTCTTTTACATAACTATCAACACCATGGACTATATCACCAAAAACACCCCCTAATATTTACATACAGAGAACCCTAACCCCCAGGAGTATTAGTGCCCGGCGAGCCAAAGGACTAGTGCCCGTCTAGCAGGGCCCCTACAATATTGGTAAACTTGGGCGCCTACAACACCTCGAGCCGTCCGTGTCGATGGCCGCTATACGCGTGCACCCCTTGAGGACCCGCGACCACTCGGCTGCTGTGTGCTAGTGTAGGTAGTTCGCGGTAGGCGTTGGGCTCGGGGCGCACATGTCGACGCCGGCCATGGCTTTGGCGACGGGGAGCACGCACGTCTTGGTTTTGCTGCCGGGCCCAACCGGAATGGTTGCCGACGCCGGCGCGGTTGTGGGTTAGGCCCATGTTGTGTTGCGCAGAGGTTGGCGCTGACGCCGAGGCAGGTGGTGAAGGATCACTTGTATTTGCCGGATGAATTACTGGATCGGCTGCCGTGGGTATGCTTATTGAGCGTTTGGGTATGTGAGGTTTGGTGTACGATATTAGGGAATGTGAATGGGTGATAAAGATAAGGTGCGGTGGTGAGTGGCGACCGGAAGTCGTTGATGGAGATGCTGTTTGTCCGGCGGCTGGCACATGAGGCCCGGATGCATGTCGGCGTCGGGGTTGTCCAAAGACCGACGGTAATTTTGTTGCCTAGTGGCGACCGTAAGGTAGCCCGGTTGCCCGGATAGAAACGCAATCGTAAAAAGACTACGACAACGATGCAAAGGTTGAAACTAACCAACGGAAATAGATAGCACATTCGGTATCGTATTCTGTCATGGCATCGCATCGGACTTCGATGGAAAATGAAACGTGACTTCAACCAGGTTCCCGTCCCGTTCCAGCTGTTGGGGACGCTGTCAGAACCTCTGCACGTGCTCTGACAGTGGTGAGATGGTCCGTGCACGGATACCAAGCTTTTTTCCAAATGACCCCGCCGTGTTGGCGCAGGGGGCGATGACTGACCGCCCAACCGCATTTGGTTTAGCCGGGTGGCTCCCAGGTTACACTTGGGTCCCATTCCATTCAACATTTTGGGGAACATTTCTTGCCCTTGCATTTTGCATCCTCATATTTTTCAGCAGAAAATCTCGTGATTGATTGTGCGGCATCTAAATGAAATAAGGTAAACCAAGCCTTGTTGCAAATAGATTGCCATGAGATCCCCCTCAATTTCAATCATCGGTTTGATAGCCGTGGACCACAGTGGCTGATGCTTCAAGATGGTGGGCTCCCTCGGAAAGTTGCAAGGAACCGGCGGCGAGACTCTCTCTCACCCAATCGAGAAAAAGACCGCGCGCGATCAATTACAAACAAAACCGAACAAGCCGAAAGCGACACAGAGACATTACCTCAGCAACTTCCCGACACATACATACCAACACCACACCACACCATGCGCAGTACACGCCGAGGTGCAAAACATACAAAGCAAAAGCAAGACAGTGAGACTGGCACCCACTTCCACGAAAACAGGACTTGGACCAATCATCTCCCACAACACAGGCGCCATGCTCTGTTGATATTGGCGCCATGTCGTCTTCAGCCTCAGTGGAGTTGCTTCTTTGGGGTCGTCCAACCCGTCCCTCACACCAAGTGGTGTGCCTGGGGGCTAGACTGCAATTGGGTAAGCTTCACCGCAACAAACTTTCTTGACATTGTATCCTTGCAGGCTTGGTAACTTTATCATGGCCCTACAAGGTTTAGTACATTTACATATCCCAGGTCCCAGGTCCCCCTTTTTTTCTCGAAACCGGTAACACGCCATGGTAAGATTGGTAACCCGCCATGGTAATTTTCATCCAACTCTTCAAGTCTGAACTGCGATAACACTACCAAAATGAAAGCTGACATCGTATTTCTTGCTCGGGTTGTTTCGAATTCGAATGGGCTCTGCCGCAGTCTGCTTGTATGAGACGCTCCTTCAAATTTCTATGTCGTATTGGAGGTCAAAAGATGCTGAAATTTGATGACTGACTTTTTGACGATGTTCGTTGTCTTTAATACGAGCTATCATTGGCGGAGCAGACCCATGCGCAGTAGGCCTGCTCAACTTTGGTGCAAAAAAGGCGATTTACCATGGCGGGTTACCAATCTTACCATGGCGTGTTACCGATTTCGTTTTTTTTCTTTGTCTTCTCTCCGCGGATTTTCCTCCGGGGTCAGGCTTTGGTAGTGGGACTCGCCCCATGCTCGCTTATCCCAATTACCCTGACCAATCTTTTTCCTATCCTGTAAAGAACAGGGCGTAGAGGGCAGTGCTCCCCATCTACGCGGAGGAGGATCCTACAAGTGCGAAATGTCACCTCGTATCAAGGGAACTAACTTACCGGAACTAGGGAAGCCAACAAGATTTGTTTGCTTGGCTTTCGAGGCTGCCTGGAATTCCCCCGCCGAATGAGGATAAGCCTTAACAGTGAGACTATCGAATACCTTACATCGAGTACCTTCCTAGTACCTCTACGCATCACATCGCCGACGGAATTGTTTGTATGGGATGTCTCAGGAGGTCACTCAACTGCCGGTTCCAGTTCCAGCCTCATCTCCTCTTTTCCTGTTCGCGGTGCTTTCCACTTCCCACATCCCTGCCCGCCTCTCATTGTCTCAAAAGGGATATGGAGGGGTGGGTCAAATAAGCACCATATCTTACTGCATACCCTTCTTTCATCAAAAATCCTTAGAACTTCGATACCTCCCATCTCTTTGACATCTTGACGTCTTCATCCGCCACGAGGATATTCGAGATCCGATCAGACCAGGCCAAAGATAAGACGAAAAAAGGGTCCACTCTCTCCACTTCCACTTACACGAGACGACGCCATCGATCGAGACCGATCCACCATATATAAAATCCACGCGATATACTGGGATCATCCGCGTATCGACAGCCCCGATTCGGCTCCGGGGAAACCGGGTTTTCGATCTCAACAGGCCCGGGCCTAAACCACATTGCAATTTTGCATCACATTCACTTGCTTCACCCAGCATATCATATCAGCTCTGTAGCGACCCAGTACCATCTATCATCATCTCAAAGCCTCGACCACTTGCCCGGCGCGGCACCGACGACCATACAAATGCCATAAAGTGACGCCATTCCCTTCCCCGGATCTTCCCCATCAATTCCATTACCGCCCGAACCCCGTCCACTCGTTCCGGGGACTTCAAAATTACCTAAATAGGACACAGTCTATTTCGGGCACATCCGAACATTGCAGGTCGCCCCCTCAACAACATCATGTTGATGGGCGAGCAGACCGGGACGACGGGCCACTCGTGGTCGTCCATATCGGCCATCATCGCCCACTGGCGTTCCTACCGACACATCCACCGCATCGCCCTAGTCATATTCGTCCTCTTAACCATCTTTGTGCTGGAAAGGTACCGGACAGCACTGGCCAGTACGTTCCAAACGTCAAGCGAGACGAGGGATCCCATCGCCGTTCCTGGAGGAAACTCAGCAGCCCAGCAGGAGAACCATTATGAACCTTATCCCGAGGCCACCAATCAAGGAGGAGGGGGAAAACATGAGGAGGAGACCCAGTTGACACCCGAACAACTCCTCGAGTTGTCCCAAACCAACGCGGGCAACAGCACCCTCGGCTTCCACGCCATCAAGTACATCAACATGAAGGCCCGCTATGACCGCGAGGACGCCATGGCGCTGCAGGCGTACATGTCCGGACTCGATATCGAGGATTACCCGGCTGTGGAGGCGGATATGATTGACCCTGTTGGGATGCCGCCTACGCATCGGCCGGGAAAGCTGAAGACGGGTGAGAAGGGGTGTTGGAGGGCTCATGCTAATGTATGCTTTTCTTCTCTCCTTTATTGTTACCTATTTTTCCCTTTCCCTGTCCCCTTTCCCTCCTCCCATTACGACGGACCTCGCCCAGCTTGGACTTGAGGTCAGACATAGGCATCTTTGGCGGTCCGCCGACCTCAACATAAAGGGTGATCTCGGACCACGTGTTGCTGGGCATGTATGTCCCAGAGGTTCATCACGCAGACGATCAATGTCCATGGGCGTACACCTCCAGTCTCATCACCTAAATAGCAGAAACAAACCTCCCTGCTCCCCCTTCCTCCCCCCTCCCCCTCCTCCTCTCCTCCTCTTTTCCCGCTTCCCCCCAGCCCCTTACCACCAGCCCAAAACAAAAAACTAACACCCCCCACAGATCTGGTCCGAAATGACCCGCCACCGCCTCCCCCCCATCCTAATCCTCGAATCCGACGCCGCCTGGGACCTCAACATCCGCGCCATCATGTCGCGCCTCAACAGCCACTTCATCTCCTTCCTGAACCAAATCAACTCCACGGCCGTGCACGACCCATCCTTTGGTTCCCCAAATAACCACAAAGTCCACGGGCCCCCTCCCCCTTATTCCCCTGACAAGCCTATAGTGGCCAACCCCGATGACCCCTGGTTATCCGCCCACTGGGATTTATTTTCTGTAGGGCAATGTTTTGAGTACACGCAGGATCACGAGATTAAACTTGTGTATGATGATGAGAGTGTTCCGGAGGGGAATGATTACTGGGGACAGAAGATGGGGAAGGAGAGGGTGATTAGGAAGAGTGGGGGGATTACGTGCACGACTGCGTATGCTATTAGTCATACGGGGGCGGCGAAGCTGTTGTTGAGGAGTGCGTTGGATCTGGATAACCCTGTTGATTTGTTGATGAGGAGGCTAGTGATGAGTCGCGATTTGGTGTCTTATAGCTTGTTCCCGCCCGTGGTGGCGCAGTGGGAGTATATCGGGGGGATTGGCATGGGGGAGAGAGGGGCGCAGAGTGATATCAATGGCGGGAAACATAAGGATACGCCGGAGAATGCGCACATGCCCGGGTGGAAGGATGTCAAGGACACGGGATCGATTTGGACCACCAAGGGACATCATAGGGATGTTGCGTTTGACAAGATGGCCCTTAAGGAGGCGTGGACCGAGATTATTGGGGAGGAACCGAAGAAGTTTGAGGAGAGCTTGTATAATCCTGAGACGGGGAATTAAGAATCGCTGTCATGGGGAGGGTCCGGGAAGGAGTGAGTTGGATACCTACCTCTACAGACAAACGGAACGAAAGAGAGAGGAACAAGGCCAAGTGGCCACCATGTACGTCTCAAAGGAAACACCACAAAAACATCACAATCAGTTACGATGAAAGTTTATCTAATACATTACTATGTGCAACTACATTGCGCCAGTTCTTTGCCTGGCCGTCGAGCTACTCCTGTCAACATGTCCAACACCACCACCACCACCACCACCAGCAGCAGCAACACCAACAACACCACCAACATGAACAGGTACATGACCAAAACCACAATCACAACCACAATCACAACCACCACCACGAACCCAACCCAAGATTTCCTCCATGTCCTCCGCCTATCTAGTCCAGAGCACCGCATTCAACGAGCCGGTGAGGGTAATTCGAACCCAGGAAACTACCATCGTGGTATTGAGGCTGGCGTCACCTCCCATCATGGCCATGACCGGGGCCCCCATCGCAATGGTAACGCTGCGAGCAGTGTAGGCAATGTTCCGAGAGGCGGGGGCAAGAAAACATGCCGCCACCCCACATCACCCTTTTCGTCAGGTTCTGGACATTCGAAAGGCCTTTCGGTACTGTGTATAGTCGTTATATGACGGTCCAGGTGCTGCCATGCTCGCCCCTCCCTGGTTCCAAGCGAGACAGTCTTGGCAGCGGTAGATTAGTTCGAACTGGGTCGAGTTGACTTCGGGTCACCAGTCTGCTTGGGGTCCGTGACACCATCGTCAGGCGGCTGTTTCGTCCTTCGCCCGAGGCAGCGACCTGTCTCTTTGCGCATCCTTTGGCCCCCCGGAGATGCGAATCCCCAGATCCAAGCAACTTAATGCTGGCAAACCCAACAGTCATCACGCCAAGCGCCATCATCGACAGCGCCGACCTAGAAGCAAGTAACCATGTGTTAGCCTGACATTCCATCAAACATGATACCAAGTCCGACAACAACATGAACCAAAGGCAGAACAGAAGCAAGGTACTCACCATGGCATGTGGTCGTATCCTTGGGGTCCCTCCTTAGGATCCCGCGCAGCGGTCCCCGTTCATTGATGGAAGAGTAGGTCAATGTTATCCCCAGGTTAGGAAACCTATTACTAAAAGTTGCACAGAGCGTGGCCAGTTCTTCAGCTGTGAAGCCGAAGCTGAAGCCGAGTTAGCCGACGCACACGTGTGATGATCTGCTCGGACTGCGAACCATTTCTGACCGCCCATATCGGGGTAGACGAGAGGCAATCTTGTGTAGTACTCGTGCTGCTCAGGCGCCTCCGCGCAGTAATGCTCGGGCCCGGCAGCCGCTTGTGGCATATCAGCCGCCTTGCCGGGAGGTCGGCAAAGGCGCTGGCCGGGCCCGGCATTTGGAGTTGTTGATAACGCCGAAAGTATTGGGATGTGCCCGGCTCGAAGTACAGCGGCAGTGAATGGAAACAGACAGATGGATGAGCGGGTGCGCAACGTCGGTCGTCATCCTGGAGAGGAGAAGAGGGAGTTAGCTTGTTGTGTCTTGGGTGGGTGGGTAAGGTAGTGAGGAACATGATGGATGGGGTTTAGTGTAGTGGTGGGCCACTGGGCTGGACTGGGAGGGTGAAGGAGTGGCCTTCTTGAGCAACCTTGCTCTGGCTGAGTTGGTCAGGCTGGCCTCAGATTGGTGGTAGCGTTGTCTCCAACGGAGAGCCGCGCCCCGTTGGAAGGACATGGGACAAAAGTGCGAGGGGCTTGTTTGCAGTGTGCTACCTCAAGTCAGGATCGAATGCTGGGTTTACTCACTTGTTAGGTTGCATGTTGTTGGGCCACCATATGTTGTAGTCTTGGAGAAACTCGAAATGGAGCGCCTGAGTCAAGCAACAAATACGTCAGCACGGTACTTTATCATCGAAGATTGTAGGGACTGGAAGTCGAAGGCACCGTGGTGGTACGGTGAACGGAACTTGAAAGAAAAGGAACTGAAGAACGAAATCAAGAAAACGTCAACCTGACTTACCTCTGACTTCCATCAGCGAGGATAACGAGAAGCAGATCCGGGAGGCCAAGGAGAGAGTGTCGTTGTTTGGTCCCGCTGGTGGCACAGCTTGGGACGGGAGGCTCGAGAGAAAAGTGATTGGATGATGGAGGAAGAAATTGGATGAGAGTGATGGAATGATGGAGGAAGATTTGGAAGAGAGGAGAAAGGGGAGAAGACAGGGATTAAGTACCTGGGGAGAGAGGGGTACGGGAGGAGATTTCTTTCTGCCTCTCGCACAAATCTGAACGCAGGCCAGGAGGTACTGGGCCGCACGACCTCGAACACTTGCCGGCGAATAAGGGGAGGGCTTGACAAAAGGCGAGGCGGAAGTCTTGGGAGGAAGGAGTGAGGAAAGAAGAGACCCTGGCCTCGCAGCCAGGATTCACGAGTTGCCAGGCGTGCCTTGGTGCCTGGCAGTAACAGATTTGTCCGAGAGGTTTGAGATGACCTCGAGCGCTGGGCAAATAAGGAGTGAGCTTGACAAGAGGCGAGGCTTGGGAGGAAGGACCAAGGAGGAGGGGGGAAATCGGCCTCGCAGCCATGACTTTCAAGTTGCCAGGCGTACCCTGGTGCCTGGCAGTACCGTACTGGGAAGGCGGGGGTCTAGCGAACAGCAAATTGACTGTCAATTGACTGTTGGGGGGTCGTAAACGTTGGTAATTTTTTCAAATGCTGTAGTGGCTGTTCGAAATTTTTCAAGCGTTTACGGAAATAAACGTTTGAATGCATCCAAACGTTGGAACCCTACTAAACGTTGGGATTATCAAACGTTTATAGCATATCAACTATTTATTGAACATTTAATAGACATTTAGTCACGGTCACGGTCACAGTCACGGTCACACTGATGCATTTGGTTTCTTGGTGAAAGATATCAATTAGCTACCTATCTATCTTCCTCGCCCGGCCGAAAAGGAGAGAGAGAGAAGAAAAGAGAGAAAAGAAGAGAGAGAAAAGAAAAAAGAAAAAGAGAGAAAGAGAGCACCAAAGAATCGGGCAGTCCAATCACCAAAGCATTGGTTTTGCGATGCCACTTGGCTGCAACTTCCACTTGGAAGACAATAACTTGGTGAATGGGCTGTCCGGTTCAAGTTCACTCTGGCTCCCTGGCTCCCTGGTTCTCTAGGTGAATGAATAACTTGTGGTTTTGGTTGAAAGAGAGAAAAGGAAGAAGTGCAAAGTTTTTGCTCCGGGTTAGCCTTATAGTAGTAGAAGGTGGTGGTAGTAGCCGTCGTTCTTTCCCTTTCGCTAACTTGAACTTGAAGTTTTTTGACTTTGCGACTAGGCCGGGGCTGCAGTGTTGGCAACGTTAACTTATACCTAAACATTTATTCATATTAACCATTTGAAAATGCATTTGGCTGGGCCAACCGTTGATCAACACTTCGTAAACGTTTGTTCCAAAACCAACTGTTAAATTACAGTTTGAAAATTTCAAACTAGTTTCTGACTGTTCGCTAAACCCCCCCCTTCGCAGTACGGTAGCGCGGAGGCTCGGAGGTCTGGGTCCCCATAATGCATGACCTCACCGGCTGAGCGAATAAAAGGAGGGCATGACAAGAGGCGAGTTCCCGTCGTGGAGGAAGGAACGAGGAGGAGGGGGGATATGAGCCTCGCAGTCGGGACTCTTAAGGTGCCAGGCGTGCCTTGGTGCCTGGTAGTAACACAGAGGCTCAGAGCGGTCGGGGTCTCCTCCATCCCCTCGTTCCGTCTACGTACTTCGAGTCGTCCTCGTTGACTCGCACTTCTCCTTGATCGGAACCAAACCAAGAAACAACGAGTTCCTCCACGTTCGACACTTGCCTCCGGGCCCCAACAGCTCTCGTTAACCACCCAAAGTTTGCATTCAAGCCGCACATGAATTCCTGTACTTAAATCGAGGGTTCCCCGTCCTCTTGTCCCGTCCTGCTTCTTCGTCCTCATCTTCGTCCTCGTCGTCGTCGTCGTCGTCGTCTTCTTCTTCTTCTCCTTCTTCTTCTTCTTCTTCAATCAACAAGTTCATTAGCACTTTCAATTGTGCCTTTTCGTCTTCGTTCACTCCGTTCAAATTCCATCACTTCGACACAATCCCCCACCTGCTCAAGGTGATTTTGATCCCCTTCCTCCTTCGGAGAATGTCTTCTAACAAGTCTCAGTACACAGAGCGGGCCGGCGGCCATGAAGGTCCTGCCCACCACGGCACGGCCTCCGAGCCCGCTCTCCATTGTTCTCGACTGAAGACAACATCAGAGTACCTCAACAAGCCCGGCTTCCGTCTCTGCGACTCCGGTACTTCCCTCTACCGCTCCTGGAGCGTCGAATCCCAATACAATCTCCACTGCCGGACGTATTCCCACCAATGCGAGATGTGATTCCAGACACTCCTGGTGCTTTCCGTTTTGTTCATGTTAAATCGGCTTTCATGAGTGTCAGCCTTTGGCCGAGGCTGCTGGCCTCATAAAATCGTGACCCCAGTGAGCAGCGCAGTCTGTGGCGTGGATACACCCCTTGAGGAGTGAATCAGGCACCTACGCCTTCGGTTTGGCCTTGCCTCCCGATGCTCTGACCAAGGATGCCAACGAATATATCGGTCTTTTGGTACGAGACTCCCCACGACTTCTTTGCTTTGTGATGGACATCAGTGTACTAACACAACTGGCAGCGTTGCGACATTGGTGACGCGCTCTGACGTCTTCCTCGGGCGTCGCACGTGGTGGTGATGGCCTCGCGGCTGCCCACGCCACCTCTGCCCACGCCGATTCGATTGACGCATACTGCGGGACAGCATCGTTCGCACCTTGCAGTGGACTGCTCGAGTGGAGGGAAGCGACCAGTACATCACCTCAAAGAACGCCGTACTCTCAGGTAAAGCGCCTTCATCCACCATCTTTCTGTTGTCAGAAGCTAACACCGGCCTTGAAATCGCAGGAAAAATCCGGAGCCCAACGAGGCTATCTTCTCCGAGTTCGCCGGTATGGCCGGTGCTGGGGACATCGCACAGTCCATCCTCAACGCCGATTTGGTCGCCTGGGGACTCAAGCTTGAACCCATCCGAATCTTCGAGACAAGGAGTTGATACCAATATCTTCCGATGGGAAATCGTATATCCATCTTGGATAGCGATGGTTGTTAATGATGAAATCCAAGATCATATTCGAGCGCGACTCAATGGCCAGCAGCTTCAGCTTCGGCGTGTCTTGTTCCGGTGGCTCCCGATGACGCCCAGCAAAGTTGTATCCTTAAGAGGTGTGTCCTGGTACTTGAAAAGGTTCAAGTCACCTTCGAAGGGCTTGTCAACCTTGACAAATGCAACATCCCGGTCATCCAAGATCATATTCGAGCGCGACTCGATGGCGAGCAGCTTCAGCTTCGGCGTGTCTTGTTCCGGTGGCAGACCGTAGGGAGCCACGCGATAACAACACTCCATGAACTGGAACTTTGTTTCCTTTGCAGATTGAATAAGGTAGTTTTGCGGATATTGAGGGTGGCGCGCAGGCGGTGATGGATCGCTGTGGGACGGGTTGTTATTGTTTATCGATTTACGTATCCCAGTGTCGGGGTCAGCTAATCAACGCTGTAGGGGTGAGGCTGGGAATGGTGAATCACGAATATGTACTGTACACTTTATCGTTCGTAAACCATAGAGGTAGGATACAGAGTAGATAGAAATGGACAATATCCATAGTCTCCACAATCTCTCAGGGCTTCCTCCTTGTTCGCCATCTTTCTCTTCAGCTCTTGGAGCTTGCTTTTGGTGTAGTTTTTGTATTCGCCCGTACAGGTATCCATTCATGGGCTCCGTCCAACCTCATATCTGACCGCACCTGGGTGTTTGTCTGTCCGAGTCTCTTGTACCTAGAGGAAATCACGCCTGTAACGCGGATGTACCCCTTCTATGACGTTTCTCTCGAGTTCTGAGGCTGGCTCTTGACGCGGACGTTAATTCCCAGCACAGAAACATAGACCACTTCGGCCCTTTTGCGACTACCAGAACGGATGTGAAGGCGAGTGAGATGCTTGTTTCCACCAATGAATTAGAGGTACCCTGATAGCATTATTGTTGCGAGCATTAAGGTAAAGCTGATCTCATCAACAAATGACTGCCTCGCCGTATCATCACAACCAGATTGCCCGATGAACTTCCTCTGCCTGCCGCTTTCCGTTCGTTTCTGAAAACGATCCTACAATCCACGCAAAAGAGTTACTCCCTCAGTGTTTCTGCCTACAGCTATACCTCTATTCAAGACAGTGACGTCTTATTGTAGACGGGACGGTTCGTCCAAAGCATGTTGCCCCACCAGATGAGTCCTGTCTTCTCATCACCTGGCTTGTCATCCGAAGTATTGCAACATGTTTGCTAACTCGTGATTTCATATTTGAACTTTCCCATTTCGACTGCAGCCTCGTCTCTCTTCTGGATCTTCCATGGTCTCTTGAAAGTGTGCCACAAAAGCCCCACCATCGACAATCTTTCCTTTCAAACTTTCCTTCCCCGACCAACCTCTTCAAGAGAGTCAACCTTTCCGTTTCTTCGGCTGCGATCAAAATATCTTCCAAGCACAAGACTTGCCTCTGTCTGGCCTTCGGCACTTCGCACCTCGCTCCTCTCATCAAGAACTTGTCTTTGAGATAAGGTATCTTTGCCTCGCGGCTTTCTCCATCCATCTCTCAACTCAAGAACTTCCGGAAAGAGCTCTCGCTACTTTCCAAAACATATCGTCAACGCGCTCGTGTAAGTCTTGCTTTCTTCTTGAGTTCAGCTTGAGATCAAGACTTCCTTCCACTTGGGAGTCAACAGAAAATGCTGGGACTGGGCTAACGGTGAAGTGAAACAGATATCGGGGACTCGCCTCCTTTTGCTTTCAGATACTTCCGGTCTTGTTGATTGGATCACGACGACTTCTCCTTTGCCTCGCAACAAAAAAATCTTTGATTGGAAGTGAGTACCTGCATATTTGGATTTACACCCTGCCTTCCCAGTCACCTTTCTCTCTTTTTGTTCAGTTGTCGATGGAACCTTCTTTTGGTTTTCTGTCCTATTTGCACTCCTGCCGTGCGTTCACCTGAAGATTTGAGCATCTATGCGCTGTCAGATTGCATTCACTCAGCTTTCAAGCATCTGCGGTCGGAGATAACCCCTTCCTTGCCTTGTCACCTTTCTCAGGATCTCGTTTTGATGTTGTCCTTCCTGCCTATTTGCTCCTTGGTTGCAATCTTTACGTTCCTTGCGGATCTCTCATGTCTTCCCTGCTACCTCTGTTGTCCCTGACCGAAGACCTGGAGAAAAAACAGCAACAACAGGCATGGAGATGCCTAGCAAAACATCCTAACCCATCAAATCAAGCAAGCTCATGTAGACCCGGCTATCACCTCGTCCAAATCAAGACACGCCATGAGCGACCAACTGTGCAGACTGATGTCAAGACCTTTGCCCACCCGATCACGTTACATCATCATGATCTGGCGAAAAACATCGGCAAAGTTGTCGGCCATACACTTCGCCGGCTGCTGGCAAACATCACCATCATCGGCCATCTCGGAGCGCATCAGGGCCTCGTCATATCTCTCAGACTTTTCTTCATATGTTTCATCTCCGACTTCAGCTCTCAGCTCTTCCTCAGTTCTGCCGGCCTTCCACTCTTCATACTCCTTAATTTCTTTCTCCAAATTCAGCTTGAGATCCTCGTTCAACTCATACTCCTCTTTGAATCCATCGCATGCAAACAGATGGCTCTTTACTGGCATTTTTGCTTCAGTCCAAACAACCCCCTTTCCGTCCTTTCACCCCTCCTCAAAGCCCCAACCCGACACCCCCCACCTCACCCAAACATTTTGCTAACCTCACCCCAAAAAGCCATGTGCTTGCAGGTCGTCCGATCCTTCTCCTGCGGCTGCGCCCGCCACCACAAGGTCGAATGCCGGCTGAGCAACCGCCTGCGCCTCTCTTCCCCCGCCGGCGCCGCTCCCTTGGCCCCCGGCGAGGCCTGCGAGACCCTCTCCGGCCCGCGCCGTTTTCGTTTCGGCACCACCATGTGCCCGACCTGCGCCTATGCCCGCCTCACCTGGCGCAGCTGGCTCGGCTCTGGCATCGGCGTGCAGCCCTGGGCCGGGCTGATGAAGAACGGCCCTGCCGCGGAGCGCGCCCTGGGCTTTAGCCGGTTCAGGGAGATGAGGGCAAGGCTGCAGCGGACGCTGCACGAGAGGGATCCAGAGGAGAAGGACGCGGGGGATTTTGAGTGGAGGACGGAGCATTGGAGGAGGATGTTGAGGAGGAAGAGGATTAGGAGGGAGGTGGAGGCGAGGTGGAGGGAGAGGGCGGAGAGGGAGGAGAGGGAGGGGACGGTGACGGCGGATGATATGGAGTTTTAGGGGGGGGAGGGGGAAAGGGAGGCGCGGAAGGGGACGAAGGAGAGGGAGAGGGATGTTGCGTTGGGAGGACGAGGGGGGCTTATTGGGCAGGGAGTGTTCGGGACTCGGATTGACAACCTTCTCGGCGCTCGTAGGCATTTCTGGGGGTGATTTGGCATTAGGGTCAGTGACGGAGTAAGGAAACTTTAAGGGACGGAGTGGAGGAGCAGCCTTCGAATTCAAATGATACCCATACCCGAGTCGATTTGACTTGAGGAACCCTGGCCAGGGGCAGCCAAGATTGTTTATCATTGATGCCCGTGATACCCTGAGTTTGCATTGTCCTTTCCCCCCTTATATTGGCCGACGAACGGTTCACCCAGAGATGGACATTGGATCAGTACCGCCTAATCACCCCTTCCGGCGACCTTGGAGGCGGCCAACACTGAACGTCACCACCAGCCTGCTAGCAGAGTTGCTAGCGGCAGAGTCGCCAACAATCGCACCACGCATGGCACGCCGTATCAGACACTCTCCGCACCATCCTCAGTCGTAACTCCCACAAGAGGTAATCGATCGAATTGCCATCTACCTCTTCTCAGTTCGTGGAAGAACGGCGTTATTTCAAAGTGCAAGAGGGCAGGAAGCAGGGCAACATGACTCGTTTGCCTCTAGTTGGCCTACATTTCGCGTCTCTGGAACTTGAAAAGCACCATTTGTTACCTAGTAGGCTATCAGCAAGCTTGGAATGTCTTTGGACCTTGTTTTCTTGCAACAACATTGAAGGTTAGGGGTACCTAGGGGGTGCTCCTTCGTCGATAAAGCACAGGAAAGCACCACTCAGCTTGACAAAGACATTAGCCCTTTAGCCCCAAGTAGAACATCTGGTTGCGCTCTTGCCGGCTCTTGTTGGGGCAAAGATGGGCACCCGTCAACGGTTGCGCTGAACTCCTGGCAAGAAGCCCAAGCCCAAAGAATCTTTCGCTCTTCCTTCCCTTCCACGATCTTGTTCCCATTTGTTGTATCCAAGCCCTTCACCGCCGCGGACCCCTTGCTTGCCCCATTTTGAGGGGAAAACCTCTGGTCTACGTCGCACACGTTGCAATAACCGTAGCGAGGCGCGGTGCCGTCGCGTTCGGCCTCCTTCCGGCGGTGGTCTGCGGACTCGAGGTGCTTCTGGTATTGATGTGTACGGTGCATGTACTTTTCTCTACTACGCTCGTAGAGAGAACCGCGATGTGCACCTCCAGTTTCTAACGACGCCAACAGGCACTGGGGCTAGACAGCCCCTTTTCGCAAATCGGGCGTACACCAGTTGGGTGGCATATCGGGCTCGGGCTCGGGCGCCGGTAGTCCGGCGGCGGCAGCTTCGTCGTGGCTTGCATGGGTAATCGTTAGCTCGATACAGGTAGGTAGAGGTACTCTTGGCTTTCTCTTAGGTGTATATGGCGTAGGAGGGTTTTCTTGGCGCCCAAGTTATTGAGGCATACGGAGCAGTGGTGTTCCCTAGGTGTATGGCCGATTGTCCGTGGACCAGAAGATTTGGATGCACAAGCCTCGCTGCCCTGGAAGATTGCCGTTTAGTGAAGGGCGAGGCTGCGTTGCCGTGCTGCAGGTTTGCTGCAGTGCCCACTGGAAAATCTGTAGAGAACGCAGGAGCGACCTGCAATGCCCGCATAAGACGCCCCACTCTTTCACGATTTGCCCTCTGTAGCGTGCCCCTGTGTGGCATCTTTGTACAAGTGGGCGAGGATGGTCCCGTAGATTGTGAGTGTCTAGCTTCGACAGCGCCGTGATCGTTTTCGAGCATGTTGTACACGCCACTCTTCTTCCAAAAATGACCTAGAGAAGTACTCCTGCCATTGGCCCATTGGGCAGCGATTGAAACAATTCAATTCAATCAGGATTTCTGGTCGGATTGATTGTATTTGTCTAAAATCGCCAAAATTGCCTTGTTTTACAGCCCGATTCAATTGCCTTGTTTTAATTGCAATCTCGGATACCTTTTTTTCTGGTCCCGACATACCGGTAATTACACACTTCTATCAGCTGTAAAAGCACCATTACACAACAAAAACGTGGAAAATACACTGAACAAGACTGGAAATCGGAAAACGAAGCTATCGCTAACCCTCTCCCTCTTCTATACTTCCAACCACTGCTAACGGGCCGTCGGGAACAGGCTTTTCACACAGCGTTTGAACGGATCTGAGATTCCCAGCAAAAATCGACCCTTAAATGTTAAGTACCTTGGTACACAATCTTTGCCAAATAATCGACAATCTGGGCCCGGCCGGCTTGCTTGGGGTTACTACTCGATTGCTTTTCTTTGCTTACGATCGATTGTTACTTATTGATTGTTACTTGAATTGTCTCAATCGCTGCCATTGGGTACCTCCGGCTGAGAAATACCTCTGCGGCTCTGCCTGGGATCTCTCATGTTCTTAGAGATAAGGTATCGTACCTATCATACACTCCTTGCTTGTGATCATTGATCGATGCCCAGGCTGTGGCTGACTCGAAGAACTGGAAAGACGAGATACATACACTACCTTTCAAAACACGAGTCGCAGCACCACTTCCGCAGAGTCAAGGATGCCGGGGTTGGTACTCCCATTCTATGACAGAATGGGCGATCACAGATATTGCAAAAACGAGACGTGCAATGCGCAAGTCGGGTTCGAGTTCCGGTCCCGGTCCCACACCACCGAACCACCGGCCCGAACACCTCTGGCCCCCGGGCCCCCGGCCGACAGCTCTGCGCCTGGCCCGAGCGCCAGAGAGTTTTTGTACCTCGCGGTGGCGATCAGAAAATATCTCTACGAGTTGCGAGGAAACGCGTTTATTCCGTGAAAGCACTGGTTTGTCGAGATTGTCGGCTTGTCGCCAAGGTCAAGGAGGACGGGGCCTCTCCCGAGGACTTCTCTCTTGTTTCTGCCTTTTGGCAGGGCGTTCACCCTCAGGGGGTTCACTGATACTTCCACGGCCACTCCCGTGGACAGCATTGCTGACGTCCTGGTGGAGTTTGTCCATAACTCCATCCCCTTCTTCGTGCGGTGGTGTCGACGGAGGTCTGCGGCGGTGAGGAATGGTCTGTTCAGGCACAGCAGACAAACATCGGATGCTTGCGAAGGCAAAACATAAAAGCCTTCTGTCTACCCACTGGCATCCAAGTCTCTAATATTCTTTGCCCGCTTCCGCCTTGCTGTGTGAACCGGTTCAGCGGTGGAGACAACTCAAATCTGTTGCTAAATACAAGTAAATACAAGCGAGCAAGCAAGTAAATCAAGGTCTCGAAATATTTGACCCAAATAAATCGAATGTCTCAATTTGCTTGACTAATTTGCCCGCCTTCTTAGCATTCCGGCAGAATCCTAGGGTTAGGGTTCAAAGTATAAAAACACATAATTTTTACCCCTTAAAGATCGACCCACCTCAAACCCTCAAGCATATAAATTAGCCACCCAAATTGCCATATATATCTTAATTACTAGTCGATTACTAATACTTATCATGGGGCGAGGCACTATTAGGGGTAGGGTAAGATATGCGTTGTTGTGCGGAGGAGAGGAAAGGAAGGTATACGTAGAGGACTGGCTATATAAGCGAGAGCCCTAGCAGGCCAGTCCGTACACGCGCACACGTACAGCTGCACGTAACTACTATACTCTAAGTATAGTACATAAGACAGTCAGTACAATACGAGAATATTATAGGCTAGCCCTATAACACTATCCTCCCTCAAAAGAAGCTCTAATAACTTCGAATCTATATATACATATAATAATACTCCAAATTATTTATTTCAAACTCTTCTCGTAATCCTCCAACATCTTATTATAATCTACAAACCCCGTCTTTAATACTCGACTAGACCAGATATTTATTAAATATTTCACCATCTTCGTAAATACTATTTCATATTCCTATTCTTCATATACCGTAAATTTATTTTCTAGCCTTATCATAATTATAACCGTATTAAATAATAGTTAAATAATATCGATAACGGCGGCGGCGGTTTCAATTCGTTAAATAACGCGGGTAGACCGGTATTTCGGGGGTACCGGGGGCGCGGGAGTAATAGCCGGTATTAAAACGGTAGCCGGTATTAGAGCGCGTTTAACTAATATAGCCTCTATATTTAATAGTATAGGCTTATCAGGGAATTTGTTATAAAAGCGTTAGAATATTTCTTCGTAATCGATAATATTATTTTTAAATTCCTAAATCGGTTAGTAATTACCTTTCTATTCAATATAATAATATTAATAATAATCACTACCCAATTAAACGTAATTAATAAACTATTCGAAATCCTATTCTTCCTATTCCTCGTAATTATCCGTCCTAATTATTATTCGCCTATTATTTACTTTTATATTAGATAATCTATTTTAGCCAGGAAGGCCTTTACCGATTTAAAGTTATACTATAAAGATATAAAATACCGGCGAATACTTCATATTAATCGGGAATACGAAATGAATTATATAACTCTCCATTCGGGTAACGTAAAAAGGACCTTCCTATTATAGGTAGAATTTAAAATATAATCGACCGTTAACGAATTTATTATATTTAGTAGGACTATATCATTGGAATAATATTTAAGGGAATTAATACGTTTCTTATTAATATTATCTGTATATCGCTCTTAAATCCAACAGGTTTATTAGACGGCAAAGTCCTAAATTTACTAAAAATGATCTATTAATTTAAATACTTTATAATACTTTTTAAATTAGGTTAGGGAGAGGTTTAAAGGTAGCGGAGTATAAAATTCGGGATTTATCCGTAAATAGTAGGCATAATTAGTAAAAAAGGGGGATATGCCTATAGACGACAATATAGCGTTATTTTTAATAAATTCTATAATTAATAATTATTTTACCTAATCGGTTTATATTTAATTAATATAAAACCGTAAGAATTATTCTATTTCAATATTAATATATTTTATTTGGGCGTTAATTTAAAAATAGAAAATTATAAGTTGTTTACGGATGATTAAAAGCCTT